TATATATATATATATATATATATATATATATATATATATATATATATATATATATAAATATACACTGTTGAAGATTCTGAGTCATCCAGGTCATTCCAAAGAATGAGGTTTGAAGACATTTCTCTTCCCATCCAGGAAGTTTTTTCAATTTTAAAATTTGTATATATTTTTTTTTTTAACTCAAGAGGATCCCAGAACATTTCAAAGCAAACAGACCCTGAAACAGAGACTAGTTCATCCTAAAGACCTAATCTGAGCAGAGTGTCTGCAGGTCAATGCAGGGAGGAACGATCTGATCTTTATATTGGAGAAACCAAACAACCTCTCCAGAGACGCATGGCCCAACACAGAAGAGCGCCCTCCTCTGGACAGACTCTGCGCTACATCTACACCTTCTCAGATTTCAGCTTTCAAAAACCTCCAATGCTGTGATAGAGTTGATTCCTTCCCGCTATCATCGCAGCTCCAACCTCTTTACATGAGAGCAGAAGACCTCCCCTGTTCAGCCAGGCCAACTATTCCCCCTAACGACCCCCCTTTCAGAGACATAGACAGGTATGGGGCATTGCAGGCTAACAAAGAAGCCAAACGACCCCCATTCCAAAGGGGGGGACCCGTTCATCCGTTTCTATTTGCATGTTTTCTAAACTAAAACCAGGCTTTGTTGGGCTGCTGATAAAACCTGGAACTAAACGCTATTTCTGACATTTTGGATTGAAAAATCTTCCTGGATGGAAGAGAAACGTCTTCAAACTTGGAAACAAAGTCCAGCGGATTGATTTCTTTTTTGGAATATACATAAATACACATATTTGTTACTGCTATAACTTTTAAAGCTAACCCAACATTTTTCATACTTCTTTGAACAATATTTACATGTTTCTCCTGTAACTATTAAATGTTTAATGTATTCTAACATTCTTTTCTTTTACAAAGAAGCTTATAGGAGTGAATGAAATATCTATCTGAAAAGTTTATTTCTATATGATGCCACCAAATGAAATCCAGTGGAACCAAATTTCCCAGAAGTTCCTTGAAAACTGAATTTATTTTACACATGATGTGTTTCTGGGAAAGATGTTAAAAACGTCTAAAACTAAAAGAAAGAAAAAAACTAGAAACAATACTTAATGATTTGGCCTATAAAAGGAGCAGCGGATGAAAAATATGAAAAGTCATCTTATCTCAATATGACTAAAACTCAGTCTAAAAGTCTACCACCTTAAATTTTGAATCATGGTAAAAACAAACTGGAATGTAAAAAAAGAAATAAGTCCAATTAACCTTCAGTGAAAGTTTCTGTGCCACAGCGGATTTTTTTTCAGCATTAGACTCTTAATAGAAGGGCCCTAACAGGGGCCAGGACCGGTTCTACAGGGGCACTGGCTCCTGTTGGCCCCTGTCTGGGTACACCCATGCCAATTTGAAAAAAAAAAAATCTGTATTAAAACGGGAAGAGAAAAACTGGCCTGATGATTGTGTTCTCTTTAATTAGACGGTTCTGCTGGAGGTTTCTTCCTGTTCAAAGGGAGTTTTTCCTCTCCACTGTCGCTACAAGCATGCTTAGTGTGAGGGATTGCTGAAGAGTCAATGAGTCGATGCAATCAGCTGGTTTTCCTTAGATAGAAAACTTTGAATCAATCTGACTGGATGATCTGGTGAACTGGAAAGTGACCTGAGATGACATGATGTGAATTGGAGCTATAGAAATAAACTGAATAGAATTTAATTAAAAGATAGTTTAAAAAGTTTTTTTTTTAAGCAAAGTTCCTGCAGACTTCCCAAAAAGAGGGAGACTGTAAATAGATGTATTACAGAGTCTGGGAACAACTGAGAGCTTTAGGTCTAAAGATCTTAGAAATCTACTGGAGTGATGCGGCTGTAAACGCGAAGATGCTTCAGAACGTTTAGACGTTTCCAAACTATGAGTCAAAAAACAGAGTTAAGACAAACTGGGCGGATCGCAGAGACCATCATCGTCACAGAGGAGACGTGGTTGGAAAACAAGTTCATATGACATCAGAAATATCTGTTATATTTAAGGAGGATTTCTTGAATTCCTGAATTTCACAAATCAATTCATTTCAAGTTGATTCATTTTCATTTCATTTAACATGACAAAATGAATAATTTAAACAGATTCAAACCACGGGGAAGCTGCTGAAATAAAGTGGAAACTCACTTTGATTCCTTTAACTGTCAAAAACAAAGTTTTGGTGTAAATGTTGAAAAATTGAACAACTGAAATAATTAATATTGGGCCATTCAAAAATCGATTCAAAGACATTTGGTTTGATGAACCCAGAGGGAGCCATGGTGAACTATAGAGCTGTGTCGCCTTAATAAAGCTCTGATGGCTGAGTGAGATTAACGATGCGAGCGGATGAAGAAAGTCATGTGATTTATTGGGTTCCAGTGAGCTGAAACGGAGCAGGAAGTGATGCTCTCATCACCAGCATGTGGATTTAGTGCTATGATCTGCAGAAGGTCTGGCCTATGCTCAGCAACATGATAAACCCAACAAATTAGATCACATGATTAGATCACCTTCATATGTAGAAGAAAAAGGTTATTTCTGCAAAGTGTTTCTTCCTCACAGCAATATTCAAATATTCCAGTGTTAGGAAACCCTTAGCTTATATTACACTAGACTGGTTCATGAAGGATGAAACATCAACACCTTTTAAAATCACAGGAAGTTACAGGAGATGAAAATACATCCCATCATTTATGCAACTCCAAATGAAAATTAATATTACCTTAATTTTTTTAAATTACATATGGAGTAAATTTTGTTCCATTAATGTTGGAAGCAAATCTTATGTTTTGTTAGTTGGAAAAATTAAATAAAACATTTAAAGGAGAAGTTGCTGATATTCAGAATCCAAACGTCTGAAAGTTCTTTAAATCTGAAATGATTCCATCCTGTTCAATAAATGATCAGTGTTTTTAATTCAGAGTAATTTTCATGTGAATGTGCTTTACTGGAGGCATCCATGTTTGTCAAAGAACACTACTGCCACCTACTGGTTAGTGACGTCACGGTGCGGTATCGGCTGTTGATCAAGTCCCAGTGCTGTATCTGGTGTTTGTCACAACGCGCTATTATCCAAGTCATCTTGAAAACATTCTTCTTCCAAATGTCGGCTACATATTAAGGGTTTTTTCTCTGGCCAGAAGTTCGATGGCAAATCCTCCCTCTTCAAGTTGGCGATCCAACGACCAACCCGTCCGTGGAGGATCAGGAATCAGAAAGGTGGAATAACTCTTTTTTTTCACTTTTACCCGATGTATTCCAGCATCCAGCTGCCATGCACGTGGGCATTGTCAGTTTCACTATAGTTCTGGTGAATTTCAATGGTGAAGTCCTCTGGAAATCTTCAATAATTGTTGTTGATTGCAGATGTGTCTAGTAGTTCCCATTGATTTAGCTTGGAAAGCGGGGAGAATGGCGCTAGGCTTACCGCAACGTGACGTCACTGCTGGAAGATGGCAGGAGGGAGGGGCTACTATATTTGGGCAAAAATGGCCGCTCCCAGACTCGGTGATCGCAACGAAAATTGCTTTTATTTTTTTTATTAATTAATACTAAATTCATGAAATAACTGCTCGCATATTAGTTTTAGGTATAAACAATGATCCACTGATTATTCCTCGCTGACCAGACTTCTCCTTTTATGTTAAGTTTGCTGTTTTATTCGATTCCTTTTATACATTTCTCTTTTTCCGATTGAGTTTTACTAAACGCATCATATTCTCCTCACTTCTATGGGTTTCACTCCTTAGCGAGGATGGAAGACCAACTTCAGCAGCATTTCTATTGGTCAATATGTGCGTCAAGAGTGAGAGTTTTTATGGCGCATGATGCGAAGGAAACACAGTTTGACAAACACATTTTGAAATATAAAATTTGTTAAAACTTTTTGAGAAAATAAAACCTGAAAAAATAAAACTTGAAAGGAAAAAAAAAAAAAAAAGATAAAATATGAGAAACCAATAAAATTCTTTTTTTATTGCTTTTTCCTATGATTCTTTATAAACTTTTTCTTAAATTTCCATCTACAAAACATGCTCTTTGACTGCAGCAATGGTGGAACAAAATACCCTACTCTAGAGCAGAGGTCATGGATTAGCGGACCGCAGTCCGGATCTGGATCCGTACCCACCTGCTGGCTAATCTGGACCCAAACGGATTAAAAACATTTATAAATTACCGCATGTTGTCCGACGACGGTGTCTAATTTCACTTGCGCCTCTTCTCCTGTTAATACGGTAAAGCCCTGGGGAGCGTCCGGCTCCAGGCTGCACGTGATCCCAATGAGCCAATGAGCTGTCAGTCTGGGTTGCTGCTGCTGCTACTTTTAGACACCGCTATAAACCAAACTGAACAATTGTTGTTCTTTACTTAAAACACTTGTACTACTTTAAAAAAAAAAATCTATTTTTTTTTATTTAAAAAGTCAATGTATAACATGGATGCATAAACACCTCATTTTATTTCAGTGTTAAATTCTGTTTAAAGTAACAGATTATAATTAAAAATGTCTCTGGACCTTCACTGGTTGATGATTTTTTTTTTATTCGGACCGCGCTGATTTTTTATTGGTTACCGCTGATCTAAAGGATGTAAAATGTAAAGTAAAGGTTATATATTAGAGGTTTCATTTGGATGGATGAGTATAAAGAATTTTTTAATGTGATAAAATGTGAAAACATTTGACAGCTAATAAAGTGAAACTAAGCAGTAAAATATCCACATCCAGTAGTGACACCCTGTAACCAGCAGGGGGCACCAGAGCAAAGGAAATGAAAATGAGTTACTTTTTATATTTAAACAGAATATCTGAGCAACAATGTTTAGCTGGGAGCCAAAATCAGTGTTTGTCTTCTAAGATCTAATAAACGTTCTTCTGAAGTGGACCATTGATATTACACTAATCTAACGCTTCAGAATCTCATGAGGAGGAAGAGGAGGTGGGTTACAGAGGCTCATATATTACCGACTGGAGGTAGTCCAGCAGCTGCGTGAGCTGAAACAGCCTCTGCGTCCGGGTGGTCTCGCCGTGGTGGCTCGCCAAGCGGTCCAGCTCCTTGATGTAGGAGGTCCGCAGTTCGTCAAAACAGCGCTGGCTCCTCAGGCCCTCCACTGGCACTGTGACCACGAAGCCAGAACACAACAATAACTCTCAGACTTTATCCCTTCCCATCAACTCAGGCCATGCAGGCCGCTCTCCATTCAAGCCATATTTCACTTTGCATGTTGGGGGGGGGTGACTCACGGATGCTGAAGAGGACCAGGGCTTTCATGCAGAGGAACTCCTCCTCAGTAACCTCCAGCTTGCAGAACTTCTGGGCGAGTAGCTTCATCCTCACACAGTGTTCGTACATGCTGGACACTTGCATACGCTGACTGGGAAGGAAGTTGGGAACAAAAAGAAAAAAAAAATTTAACGACATGGGAGAGTTAGAGAAGGCAGGAGAGAGCTCGAATACAAGGTGTGACAATAGCAGAAGTGTGAAGCCAGGAGATGTTCTGACAGAAACATACAGAGAGGAGGAAGAGGATTAATAGTTGCTGCAACGAGAAAGGAGGAGGAAGGAGAAAGCGCAGCAGGGGTGAGAGAAAAATGAGTTAGATGGATAATGGAAAAGAAAGATGGCAGATAGGCAGAGAGAAATGAGGGTCAGCTATACGGGCAGGCGTATCCATTAACCACGCTGGTCACAGCCATCACTGTAGGAGTGACGGGGCTAAAGCACAGAGAACGACTGGTTTGCTAATGTAACAAAATACCCAAAAAATGGAAACGGACACAACTGGCTGTAGGTGATCTTAGCAAAGAGGGAGCCACACTGAAGCTATAGAACATACTGGAACTTCTATTCACTTATATGTGACAGAACAACACAAAATATGGACTAAGAGAGAAGAACAACAAAACTGATCTATAGTCTGCAGGTTTACTAGTGGTTCCTAGAATTTCTAAAAGTAGAATGGGAGGCAGATCTTTTAGTTCTCAGGCTCCTCTCCTGTGGAACCAACTACCAGTTTTAGTCCGTGAGGCAGACACCCTGTCTACTTTTAAGGCTAGGCTTAAAACTTTCCTTTTTGATAAAGCTTCTAGTTAGAGTGGCTCAGGTTATCCTGATCTATCTCTATAGTTCTGCTGCTATACAGGTGCTGGTCATAAAATTAGAATATCATGAAAAAGTAGATTGATTTCAGTAATTCCATTTAAAAAGTGAAACTTGTATATTATATTCATACATTACATACAAACTCATATATTTCAGATGTTTATTTTGTTTAATTTTGATGATTACAAATGACAACAAATGAAAATCTCAAATTCATCATATCAGAAAATTAGAATATTGCTGAAGACCAATAAAAACAAAGGATTTATAGAAATGTTGGCCAACTGAAAAGTATGAACATGAAAAGTATGAGCATGTACAGCACTCAGTATTTAGTTGGGCCTCCTTTGGCCTGTATTACTGCAGCAATGCGGCGTGGCATGGAGTCGATCAGTCTGTGGCACTGCTCAGGTGTTATGATAGCCCAGGTTGCTCTAATAGTGGCTTTTAGCTCTTCTGAATTGTTGGGTCTGGTGTATTGCATCTTCTTCTTCACAATACCCCATAGATTTTCTATGGGGTTAAGGTCAGGAGAGTTTGCTGGCCAATTAAGAACAGGGATACCATGGTCCTTCAACCAGGTACTGGTAGCTTTGGCACTGTGTGCAGGTGCCAAGTCCTGTTGGAAAATGAAATCTGCATCTCCAAAAAGTTGGTCAGCTGCAGGAAGCATGAAGTGCTCTAAAACTTCCTGGTATGTGGCTGCGTTGACCCTGGACCTCAGAAAACACAATGGACCAACACCAGCAGATGACATGGCACCCCAAACCATCACTGACTGTGGAAACTTTACACTGGACTTCAAGCAACGTGGATGAAGTGCCTCTCTTCTTTTCCTCCAGACTCTGGGACCTTGATTTCCAAAGGAAATGCAAAATTTACTTTCATCAGAGAACATGACTTTGGACCACTCACCAGCAGTCCAGTCCTGTTTCTCTTTAGCCCAGGCAAGACGCTTCTGACGCTGTCTGTGGTTCAAGAGTGGCTTGACACAAGGAATGCGACAGCAGAAACCCATGTCTTTCATACGTCTGTGTGTGGTGGTTCTTGAAGCACTCACTCCAGCTGCAGTCCACTCTTTGTGAATCTCCCCCACATTTTTGAATGGGTTTTGTTTCACAATCCTCTCCAGGGTGCGGTTATCTCTCTTGCTTGTACACTTTTTTCGACCACATCTTTTCCTTCCCTTCGCCTCTCTATTAATGTGCTTGGACACTGAGCTCTGTGAACAGCCAGCCTCTTTAGCGATGACCTTTTGTGTCTTGCCCTCCTTGTGCAAGGTGTCGATGGTCGTCTTTTGGACAACTGTCAAGTCAGCAGTCTTCCCCATGATTGTGTAGCCTATAGAACTAGACTGAAAGACCATTTAAAGGCTTTTGCAGGTGGTTTGAGTTAATTAGCTGATTAGAGTGTGGCACCAGGGGCCATCAATTTTGAACCTTTTCACAATATTCTAATTTTCTGATATGATGAATTTGAGATTTTCATTTTTTTTGTCATTTGTAATCATCAAAATTAAACAAAATAAACATCTGAAATATATGAGTTTGTATGTAATGTATGAATATAATATACAAGTTTCACTTTTTAAATGGAATTACTGAAATCAATCAACTTTTTCATGATATTCTAATTTTATGACCAGCACCTGTAGGCTTAGACTGCAGGAGGACATAGGGACCCCTTTTTCATCATTCTGCTTCATTCTATCTCTATTCTCCCACTCTGCAGAATCTGTTAGTTCAATCTCTAACGTTCTGCTCTCTCTGCTTTTTCTCATAGTAGCTTCATCTGGTCTGTTCCTGTTTGGCTGTGACTCCATCCTGGAGAGAAATATCAGCTGTGCTGCTGCCATCAACACCTTTGTTTCTAGATGTTGGAGCTTGGCCTGTTTTCCAGTGTAGTCCTGTTTCTCTGACTGTGACTAACTGGATGTGCTCTCTTCATCCTCTGACATGGGAGCTGGCTCGGAGCTCGTCTGCCTGGCTGTGTGTTTCCTGGACGGGGCCGCCTGTGGAGCTGGTTGACAGTTGCCTTTTGTATCTATGCTTCTTTTTCTATGTCTGCTTCTGTCTCCTTGAACCCCAGTGGGTCTCAGCAGATGGCCGCTCACACTGAGCCTGGTTCTGCTGGAGGTTTCTTCCTGTTCAAAGGGAGTTTTTCCTCTCCACTGTCGCTACAAGCATGCTTAGTGTGAGGGATTGCTGAAGAGTCAATGAGTCGATGCAATCAGCTGGTTTTCCTTAGATAGAAAACTTTGAACCAATCTGACTGGATGATCTGGTGAACTGGAAAGTGACCTGAGATGACATGATGTGAATTGGAGCTATAGAAATAAACTGAATAGAATCTGTTTTTCAAAATGTTTTACAAATAAATAACTGGAAAAAAACTTCTAAACACCAACAAAGACCTTTACGTTCCTTCACACATCTAAAAACGGAAATATCCCCATAATAGCCTTATCATTCAGATGGAAAGTGACGTTCAGCAGCAGTTTTCCGGCGCTTCCAAATTTGATTTAGAGCAATAAATCTCTGCCACTGATTTCAGTATAAACCTTCTATTGTAGTTTTGCTCACATGCTGAGGGCTGTTGTGCTGCTGGAAGGTGACACTGAGTCTCAGTCTCGTGTCTGACAGGACATTCAGGAAGATGCAGCTGAAGCTCATGAAGCCCAGTTTTGGTCTAGAATGACCAGAAGATGTTGTCCTCATGGCTTATGGACAACTTTAAGAAGGAATTTGAATGGCTAACTTCCAGCAATGTCTTCCTCTCGGCTTCTCTCCATAAAATGAAATGAAAACGAGTCGTTATGAAGCGCATGTCACTGATAGTTGACATTCTATAATTTATGATGTTGTTTTTTAGAGAGCTTTAGTTTCTACATGTTTTGTGCTTCTGGTGTCAGATGCTGTTCATCTGAAAGGATTGCTGCGATTAGATTTTCCTTTATGGTTTATTATGATGCTTAGCAATAGCCACCATAGGGGAGTGGCAGCATAGTGGTTAGGGCATAAAGCTTGGAATCCTGAGGTTCTGAGTTCAAGCCCCACTCCCACAGACTCTGGGTCCCTGAGCAAGACCCTTAACCTTCACTGCTGGATGGGTTAAATTCTATTCAGTTTATTTCTATAGCTCCAATTCACATCATGTCATCTCAGGTCACTTTCCAGTTCACCAGATCATCCAGTCAGATTGATTCAAAGTTTTCTATCTAAGGAAAACCAGCTGATTGCATCGACTCATTGACTCTTCAGCAATCCCTCACACTAAGCATGCTTGTAGCGACAGTGGAGAGGAAAAACTCCCTTTGAACAGGAAGAAACCTCCAGCAGAACCAGGCTCAGTGTGAGCGGCCATCTGCTGAGGCCCACTGGGAGGAGACAGAAGCAGACATAGAAAAAGAAGCATAGATATTAAAGGCAACTGTCAACCAGCTCCACAGGCGGCCCCGTCCAGGAAACACACAGCCAGGCAGACGAGCTTCGAGCCAGCTCCCATGTCAGAGGATGAAGAGAGCACATCCAGTTAGTCACAGTCAGAGAAACAGGACTACACTGGAAAACAGGCCAAGCTCCAACATCTAGAAACAAAGGTGTTGATGGCAGCAGCACAGCTGATATTTCTCTCCAGGATGGAGTCACAGCCAAACAGGAACAGACCAGATGAAGCTACTATGAGAAAAAGCAGAGAGAGCAGAACGTTAGAGATTGAACTAACAGATTCTGCAGAGTGGGAGAATAGAGATAGAATGAAGCAGAATGATGAAAAAGGGGTCCCTATGTCCTCCAGCAGTCTAAGCCTATAGCAGCAGAACTATAGAGATAGCTCAGGATAACCTGAGCCACTCTAACTAGAAGCTTTATCAAAAAGGAAGTTTTAAGTCTAGCCTTAAAAGTAGACAGGGTGTCTGCCTCACGGACTAAAACTGGTAGTTGGTTCCACAGGAGAGGAGCCTGAGAACTAAAAGATCTGCCTCCCATTCTACTTTTAGAAATTCTAGGAACCACTAGTAAACCTGCAGATTGAGAGCGAAGTGCTCTGTTAGGAACATCAGGAACAATCAGATCTCTGATATCAGATGGAGCTTGGCCATTTAAGGCTTTATTCTGGATTTAACAGGAAGCCAATGAAGAGAAGCCAGGATAGGAGAGATATGATCTCTCTTTTTCATTTTCATCAGAACTCTGGCTGCAGCATTTTGGATCAGCTGAAGGCTTTTAACTACAGTTTGTGGACTTCCTGATAGTAAAGAATTACAATAGTCCAGCCTTGAAGTAACAAATGCATGGACTAGTTTCTCAGCATCACCCCTGGACAGGATATTTCTAATTTTTGCAATGTTCCTCAGATGAAAGAAGGAAATTCTAGAAACCTCTTTGATCTGGGATTTAAATGACAGGTCCTGATCAAAAATAACACCAAGATTTTTTACTTTATTATCTGAAATCAGTTTAATCCCATCCAAATGAAGTGACTGACTAATCAGCTTCTTTTTCAGAGACTCTGGTCCAAAGACTATAACTTCTGTTTTGTCTGCATTCAGAAGCAGAAAGTTAAGAGTCATCCAGGTTTTTATGTCTTCAGACATGCCTGTAATCTATGTAATGGGTTAGCTTCATCTGGATTTATAGACAGATATAGCTGAGTATCATCAGCATAACAGTGGAAATTAATCCCATGCTGTCTAATAACTCTACCAATTGGGAGCATGTATAAAGTAAAGAGAATTGGTCCTAGCACTGATCCCTGTGGTACTCCACAGGTAACCTTTGAGCATGAGGAAGATCTATCATTAACATGAACAAACTGAATTCGATCAGATAGATAAGATTTAAACCAGTCTAGAGCTGTTCCTTTAATTCCAACAAAATATTCAAGTCTTTCTAAAATAATATTCTGATCAACTGGATCAAATGCAGCACTAAGATCCAACAGGACGAGCACAGATACAAGTCCATTATCTGAGGCCATGAGAATATCATTAGTGACTTTCACCAGAGCTGTTTCAGTGCTATGATGAGCTCTAAAGCCAGACTGAAACTCTTCAAAAAGTTCATTATGGTGGAAGTGATCGCAAACTTGTTTGGCAACTACTTTCTCAAGAATTTTGGATAAGAAAGGAAGATTGGATATAGGTCTATAATTAACCAAGTCATCTGGGTCAAGAGACGGTTTCTTAAGCAGAGGTTTAATTACAGCAACCCTAAAAGCTTTAGGTACATATCCCTGTAACAGAGATAGATTAATCACATCTAAAATGGAGGAGGAGATCAAAGGGAATACCTCCTTAAATAACCTGGTTGGAACTGGATCTAACATACAAGTTGAAGGCTTAGATGAAGACAATAATTTTGCTAATTCAGAAAGTTCAACTGGATCAAAGCAGTCTAAACCCGGTTCAGATTCCATGACTACCTCAGGTACAATCGCGGATAGAGGAGTGCTTATGATCTTATTTTAATAAGATCAATCTTATTTATAAAGAATGGACGGTTCAACAGAGCTATGGCTCTGGGTGAGTTTGACAACTGGATTAAAAAGAAATTTAGGATTATTCTTATTCTCCTCTTTTAATGAGGAGAAGTATGCTGCTCTTGCTTTACAAAGGGTCCTCTTATACAGCAGTTAACTATTTTTCCAGACTAGGAAGGCCTGTGGAGCGATATTTTCTCTCCAGTTTCCTAGCATTTTGCTTTAAAGTGCGCAGCTCTGCATTAAACCAAGGAGCAAGCTTTCTATTTTTAAAGGTTTTCATTTTCAAAGGAGCTGCGTTGTCTAAGGCAATACGCAGAGAACTAGCAACCCCATCAACAAAATCATCAACCTGTGAAGGGGAATAAGCTATAATTTTGCACTCTGCAGCACTGCTCAGCAACATAGAGGAGAGAGAAAGGGAAGCAGATTCTTTAAAATTTATAACTGCACTATCTGATAATAATCTGCTAAAGGGGAACTTTCTTTTTGGGAGGAGAACTCTGATAAAGTAATCCTGATAAAGTAAATGCAGAGAGTGAATTTCTCCAATGAGATCAATAAAGTTCATCCATCCATCAATTTTCTGTCACACTTATCCCAAGTAGGGTAACGGGGTTGCTGGTGCCTATCACAACCATAGCCAGTTGTTTGATTTTTTTTTTTTACAACGCGGAGCAGTTCATTAAAACCTCGACAGACTTTATTACATATAAACATATAAAAGCTCCTCAGTTGCAAGGCCCCAGGGGTGGATGAGATTCGCCCTGAGTACCTTAAGTTAGGTTTACGCGGCTCTGGACATCAGGGGCAGTTCCCCTGGATTGGCAGACTGGGGTGGTGGTACCTCTATTTAAAAATGGGGGACTGGAGGGTGTGTTCCAACTAAAGAGGAATCAAACTCTTAAGCCTCCCTGGTAAGGTCTATTCCAGGGTTCTGGAAAGGAGGGTCCATCGGATAGTGGAATCTCGGATTCAGGAGGAGCAGTGTGGTTTTCGTCTCTGTATGACCGGTGTCAGAGCCTGGTCCGCATTGCCAACAATAAGTTGGACTTGTTTCTGGTGAGAGTTGGACGCCGCCAACAGTGGTTCTGTTGGCTTCATCAGGACTACAGCTATCAGCAATGTAGTATTATGTGACTTATCAAGATCTGAGATTTTTTTCCTATCCTGATCTATCTCTATAGTTCTGCTGCTATAGGCTTAGACTGCTGGAGGACATAGGGACCCCTTTGTCAACATTCTATCTCGATTCTCCCACTCTGCAGATCTGTTAGTTCAATCTCTAATGTTCTGCTCTCTCTGCTTTTGTAAAAGTTGATAGCAAAGACCAAAGATGAAAGTAGTTTTTTTTTTTTTTTTGGGGGGGGGTTGTCAAGGCTGATTACGACCCAAAAAAACCTTGATTCTACTTGTGAAGGCGACACACTGTGAAAAAGATCTAGAAATACATAAACATTTCTTAAATTAAAGGTATTTACCCTTAATTTGAGTAGGTAAAGGAGATAGTTTGCCAATGGAATGAGTATTTTTACTCTTGAAATAAGATAATTAGATAATATGCACTTGAAATAAGACAATGTAATTATTTTAAGTGTAAATTGTCTTGTTCCATTTTCAAGATGTTTCTATAACCTCCTCAAATCAAGAACAAATGCACTTATTTTAAGAAAAATAACTGATCTAGATTTAGATTTTTTCCAGTGCAGACTTGGGAAACTTTTGCCAACAACTAAAACAACAGGAAAAACTGTTTTTTATGTTAAACATTAGGCATTAAAAAACTAAAACAGAAGGTTTTTTGTATGACTTACTCATTGAAGACCAGGTCAGGGGCGAAGTAGAGCATGGAGCAGTTGGTGAGCTGGTAGGACCTCCAGCCCAAAGCAAACACCATCACCCCCATCCACGACAACTGAATCACCGACATCTGGTCGTCCACATGCAGGTCACGGAAACCTGTTCAGAGATTCATCATTTTAGAAAACATTAAGCTACATTTTTAAACATAAAGATATTTTGTTATTAATTTCCTGCTTGGCTCAGTTAATTAAACAAAGGATCTAATAACAGAGATTATTGGTCACTTCCTGTTCCCTTTCGTCTCCATAAACAAGAACATATCTCCCTCTAGTGGTCAAATTTTGAACCAACCAGTTTGCTCTTCATCATACAGGTTAGGATGTTGAATCGAGCTTCTGATAAATGTTAAAAGAAGTTGATATTTCACCTGCAGCAGACAACACTGAGCATTCAGGTTCTAGTTGGCGTCAGAGGCCGACCCAGAACAAAGCAGACGTTTAATAACTTAAAGCAATTCTTCTCTTTAAAGAGAGTCATAAAGGAGCTGGTTGTTTTTAAGCAGTAGATGATGATCATCATTAAAGTAAGAGGCAGCCATCAATGATTTCCCTGCATCACGGGCGGATTTAGGAAATGTGGGGCCCTAGGCAAAGACAGGCAGGGGGCCTCTGAATTGATTCTTCTTGTTTTCCTCTCTATGTTTTGTACTCAGCTGACTTTTCATGCTGTCTCTAAAGGAATGAAAGATTTTTTCCAAGCACTAAGCTCACTTAGCTGATTGCTCCTTCCTGTGTTTCCAAATCCAATCTACTGGCTCTGGAGAGCAGAGTTCGCTGCTTTTAGATGTTGTCTCCAAAGTCTCCAGTAGCAGAAAAAAGTCTCTAGATTTGGCGCTAGGAGCTTTTTAGAAATCAAAGTGCTAGAGGGGTCTGAAAAGTGGCTAAATATAGCGACTAAAGCGCTAAGTTGGCAACACTGCTCTTTGCATGGTTTGTTTTCAAATGGTTTGCTGCTGTCTGTTTGGACCTTTCTGAACATGTGCAGCAAATGGACTGATCCAATATGGCGGACACTGAAGGGGGGGGCTGAGACACAGTTAATATTATCAGCGTTCTGATGGCATTTTAGCCAAAGGATTTTAATCAAAAACATAATTAATGTGCAAAAATAAGGAATAGTTGTATTAACCATACATGGAAACAGAGTTTTCTGGGGCCCCCAGGCAACTGCCTAGTATTGCGTAATGGTAAATCCCCCTCCGTCCTGAGAATAGAAAATAATGAAGCATTTCCACTCAAGATCTGTGAACCAATATTTCATAGATAGTTGGAGATAAGGGCATCGGTTGAGAGGAATCTTCTTCAGGGTTTTGTTACGACGTATTTCTCGTTTTGGTTATAACCCTTATGCAGAGTTGGAATGCAGAAGAAAACCTGCATGGCGTTTTCTGCAGGAGGTCCTTCTCTTTGGTCCAGCTGTCTACAGTCAGGTCATTCTCCTGTACGGAGCTGAATGTCAGGCTTCCTTACCTGGGAGTATCTGCTGATTCATTCCTGACCAGCTACTAGTGACCAGTGATTTAATGGGATGCTCATCGGTTAGACTTTACTTTGCAAACTTTATTTTATTAGATATTTACTCCTTTACATGTTCCATTCTCAGTTGATGTTTCACTCAGGAATATAATTAGTGGTGCACCGCCTCTTGTTCTTGTTTAAATGATTGGTTCCTCTGCAGTCTAAATAATTGTGCAAAGTTGACGAAAAAGCTGCTGGAACTTTAGTAATAGGACATTTTTAAATATGAACTAACAGATCCTGATTTCCACTGGGTGGTTAGTTGTCTAGAACAATTTGTGTTACTGATGCATTTGCTCCTGTCAAGGCAATGCACCAGGTACGGTAGACCAGACTTGAAACATCTCCAAATCATTGCAGTCTGTTGAGTCATGCAGATATGCTGCACTGTCTGAGGCGCTGCACAGGTCTGACCAAGTAGCGCTTCGGTTTTTCACAGCTTGAACCAGCCAGCACAGGTGTTTACAGCTCTCAGCGGTTATTGGAACACGCCAGCTAATTGCCACATGGGTTCATACCGGTTTACCTGGTATTGCCTTGGCCCAGCGTACAACAGTCACTAACTGCCTTTCCCCAAGCTCGTTGAGGCTGGTGAGCAAGGAGGCGGAGCTGTCTGGCTGGGCGGGGTCGTGTCCCGCGTTGACTACGGTGGGTTCGATGGACTGTAGGATGGTGAGGAGAGAGAAGCAGGAGCGCATAGTTGGAGGGATTCCTAAAAGCTGAGGCCCTGCAGAAGTTAACACAGAAAACAGGAGTTTTAGTACGACAAATATATAGAATATTATGGTGAAACTCCTTGGAAATATCTTTCATATTTGATCCTGTGAGCCACTAATCCTCCCCACCTTGAGCCCTGGCAGCAGCACTCCCAGGCTCCAAGACAAAATTGTGCTTCCCTTCCCTTTCTCCATGCCCCCAGGCAGGAGGCTGATGCTCCTCTTCTCCGCCTCTCGTCTGTCCGGCTCCCTTCAGCCGACGGCCTGTGATCACACAGCAGCAGCACATGCAGCAGGAGGAAGACAGACGGCTTAAACATGAAGCTGACGTAAAAAACCATCTCATCTTTTTGCCAAATAATGCAAAAATTAAATAAAACAGCAGCACATGGCTTCAATAAATCCGCCTGAAATTATCTACCAGCTATTTGTGTTTTTTCCTATCACTGACGTGTCATAAAGTTGTTTTTTTTGCCGGCCTGCACGTACAAAAAGCTCTTATTGACGTCCGATGAATTGAATTTGTTGCACCAAATTTTAGCAGGAACAGTTCTGATCTGCAGAATGTGAGCCATGTGACGGCGCTGACCCCCCCCTTTATCCCCAAATACCGCCGCGCACAAAGTCCCCATATGCTCTGACCTCATGTTATATCACATCTCAAGTGTTTTATTGAGATTTAAGGAGTGGACTAACACAAAGTAGTGAATAATAGTGAGTTGGAACTAAAAAATCATACACATTTTTTAACCTTTTTTAGCAATAAATAATTGTAAGCTGCATGGCACACATTGGTTTAGTCCCCTTCCCTCTGAAAGGCCTTTATAAAATCAGCTGAAATCATCCGCCTTCACCTAATCTGTAAATAGTGTCCCTCTCTGCCTTTATGCAAAAACGAAACAAGTAAAAAATGATTTAGCAAAATAACTGAAGGCCAGAAAACTATTCATGTTTATTCCTCCAGTATAAATCCTGCTGTTTAAAAACACTTAAGAAGTTAGAGGATCAACTTCAGCTTTTTACTCCAGTAAAAGTGTTAAGGTACAATTTTTAATACTACTTAAAGTATAAAAGTAAAAATAATGCAGGAAAAACTGTTAAGGCCAGAAGCTTTACTGCTCTACTCTATTAAAGGAACATTTTTCTACAATTCTGGATGATAACTTCATTAGACTTTATTTTCTTAGTTTTTTCAGTAATGGTAACAGAGTCACATTAAACTTTGCATCATCTGGAAAAAGTATTTATTTTGGTTTGTGTTGAGCAACAAGTTGGGGCAGCACCGAGTCCAACCACAAAGAAATTAATTGTCTGGATGAAACTAATTATTTTTTAAATACCAACAGGCCATAATTAAAATGAGCTTAGATGAAACAAAACTAACCAGTTTATTTTTAAAATCCAAGGAGAAGAAAGTAAAAAGTTGTAAAAAAAAAATAATTACACCAGTAAAGAATAGATAGACAACATTTCTACTAAAGTACAATAATGAAGTACACTGGAAAAAACAATCTAGAAATAAAGTAAAAAATTCATTCTTAAATTAGGTGTATTTACCCTTATTTGAGTGGGTAAAGGAGACAGTTTGCCAATGGAATGAGTATTTTTACTCTTAAAATAAGATAATTAGATAATATGCACTTGAAATAAGACAATGTGATTGTTTTTTCTTATTTTAAGTGTAAATTGTCTTCTTCCATTTTCAACATGTCTCTATAAATTCCTCAATCCAAGAACAAATGCACTTATTTTAAGAAAAATAACTTATCTAGATTTGGATTTTTTCCAGTGTATTTGTACTGGAGTGTTGGCCTAGAGGTTCGATCCCCACAGACTGCCACTCTGGGTCCCTGAGCAGGACCCTAAACCCCACACTGCTCCCCAGGAGCTGCACAATGGCAGCCCACTGCCTCCCCAGAGGAGGGGTTAAAGGGAGGGAATTTCTCTGATACTTTCTGATACTTTGGTTCTTAACGCCTCTACTGAAGGCCAAGGGAACGATGGAGGAGCTGCGGCTCGGTTAGCAGAAGGTGTTTGGATTACTATCAGTAATCTATAGACACAGAAGGATGGAAGGGATTAGGGCAGTGCTGGTTCTAGACCACATGTTCCGGGGGCCAGGAGGGGGCCAGGAGGGGGCCAGCTTGTCTTCATGGGGGAACAGAAAAGAATTAAATAAAAAAACAGAGATTTAGATATAATAATTTAGCTGCATGAAGTGAAATTTCAATTTAATTAGGTTCAATTAAAATTCTATTTTTTATTAAATCAATATACATTCATAATTTTTGATGTTATATATTTTTCACTTAATTTAAGCTAAAATTACCGTTTTCTATAAAATTTGAATTAGAACTCAGGAAAACCTGAGAAATTCAGCCGTAAAAATTAGAGCATTTTTTTTTTTTTTTTGTTTAAAAAAACATTTAGCAGATGAAACCTGGGATCTTATCTCAATCCCACTGAAGCTATCACCTTATTGTTTTTAAATGATTAGTAAAACAGAATTTTTAAAGAAAAAATTAAATAGATCCAAAAGACCAATCAGTAACCATGTCTGTTCCAGAGCAGATCATCATTAGAATTTACGTATTATGTCTTCAGTATATAGGCCCCCGTTGGCCCCTGTCTAGAACCGCCCGTGTATTAGCGTGTCTGTTTGCTTTATGCCACCATAAGGTGCTGAACTACGACCTGAAAACAATAATCACTGTGAAACATGGTGGTTTTCAACAATAAGAGCAGAAAAGCTGCTCAGATTGAGGAAGTTCAGGAATAAAACCTTGTTTAAGCTTTAATAGACTTTAGACTAAGGTGGAGCTTAACCCTCCATCAGGACAACCGTCACTGACAATAGCTTCATTAGGATGGTTTAGATCAAAGTCAGCCTCCATCTGATCTGACTGAGCTTAAAGGTATGGAGGACGACCTTTTATTTCCGAGTGGATCATCTCAATCAGTGGTCCTCCTAACTGTCAATCATTCTGGTTATTTGTTTACGTAAGGCCGTCCTACGTGCTTGCCCAGCAGCATGGCGGGGGGGCAATGAGTGAAATGGAGTTCTTTCTGTCAAACTGACAGACCGTAGTAGCCATGTCTTTGTCCAAATACTTCGTCGCCTTTCAGCACTAAATCGCCCAAATATCCAAGGCAGCGCGTTTCACTCTAGTGAGCTTCATGTTCCTCTGCTACTCCTTTGGCTTCCAGATAGACGAGTCCGAGTAGCGCCATCTCACTGCGGAGCTGAGTCCCACCTGGTTGTTAGACGTACAGTGTGAGCAGGTAGATCGCATCAGAGCGTCGGGTCGCACAGTGTGAGAACAAACATTGGGAGCTGTAGCTGAATGCAACCATTGAAAATATCGTAGTGTTTGCCCGGCGTTAAAGACCTTTTTCTGCGTACTTTCAGGCGTATATCTGTGGTGAGCTACTGTTTCAGACATTCATTGAAGCTCACCTTTCTCACCACGGTTCTTTGGAAATGGCCGAGAATCGGAAGTGTCAACGAAGTGTATGAGAAGAAAAAAAAGGCCTCAGAAGAGGAAGATATATCCCAGAATGCTTTGCACGGAGAGCTCTCCCCGCATTATGGGATTTTCTGTCACAGCGGCCCGCTGTCGCCATAGGCTGCCCCTACCCGACAGAGGCTCAGGCACCGCGCGATGGAGGAGGAGTTAGGTGACCAACAGAGCAAAAAGCGGTGATCACTAACGTTATAGTGAAATGAGTTCACTATATAGTCCCCGCTCTATATAGTGATGGAGGGATTAGGGTTAGGGCGCACGTTCAGAGACAGGAAGCAAAATAACAGTAAGTGGTCGCTCACTCTGAGCCTGGTTCTGCTGGAGGTTTCTTCCTGTTCAAAGGGAGTTTTTCCTCTCCACCGTCGCTACAAGCATGCTTAGTGTGAGGGATTGCTGAAGAGTCAATGAGTCGATGCAATCAGCTGGTTTTCCTTAGATAGAAAACTTTGAATCAATCTGACTGGATGATCTGGTTGAACTGTAAAGTGACCTGAGATGACATGATGGGAATTGGAGCTATAGAAATAAACTGAATAGAATTGAATTGTATGAGCTATGAGAACAGCACATTTTAAACAGGGCGGTCATGAGGAGAAATGGGCTTGTGCTTTTTTTTTTAAAGTGGAGAGGGCGGGTCTTTTAAAAAATCCTCCATAATACCTTTAAGTCTGGGAGAAATCTTCCAAACATGTAAAGCAGACGATCCTCCTAAAACTCATTCAACCAAACATTGTACCTCAGGGTGCAGATTTCAAGCACACCCTACATTTTTCAGATCTCATTTTCTACTTACCAATTATTTTCTAACCAGTGTGAGTCTGTCACAAAACAAACTCTATTAAACCTTCATTGACAGCTTTGTGTTTCAGGGTAGGGATACTTTGGCGAGGCGCTGCACATTTCCCCACACAGCCTTGAAGCCTTGAAGTTCCGTACCTTTCAAGCTCATTCCGGACATGAAGCAGCGTTTAAGTCGGCACGAGGCGCAGTTTTTCCTCCTCAGTTTATCGATGGTGCAGTCGTTCCTGCTGGCACACAGGTGGTTCTGCTTTCCTGGAGACACACAACAAAATCTGCATCACCTCGACTCATAGCAACGCCATGTGGGTGTTTACTGATAAAAAACCGCTCTGCCTCATAATGTCAGGTCACTGTGCCCCGCCGGCATTAGAGAGTAAGTGGGTGTAAGAAATTAAATCAGGGGATGCAAACTGTAATTTTCGTGTGCACTCAGGGATGCTGCGGTGCGTGTGTGTGTCGCTCCCACCTGCCGCGGCCCTCTTGAAGAACACTTTACAGCTGCCACAGGTGACCGCTCCGTAGTGACAACCCGAGGCGTCGTCGCCGCACACCTGACACACTCTCCTGTCTGACAGGAACACGCCTGGGAAAAAATCCTCGTGCCTGGAAGTGCAAACAGACACAAACCTGGATGCTTAGAGAGGAAAACCATTTTTTTTCTTGAAATAAGATAATTTAGCAACAAAATAAGTTTATCTACATTCAACATAAGAAAAAAAAAACAACTCCATTACCTTATTTGAGCGTATAACATCTAATTTTCATATATTTAGGTTACAAATGGATCATCCTATTCATCCGCTCAAATCAAAGGCAAATTCACTTATCTTAGGAAATGTCATGACTTTTGCAGTGAGGGATTTATTTAGACTTACAGGTCTTTGAATAAGAGGAAGGCGAAAGTTACACGCCGCCTTCCACACATTGCTGGGTGGTTTTAGCCTGGTGAAGGTTGCAAGTACTCAGTTCAATCCCCACCGCCTCCACTCTGGGTCCCTGAGCAAGACCCTTAACCCCACCATGCTCCCTGGGAGCTGCACAATGGCAGCCCACTGCTCCCCAAGGGGAGGGGTTAAATGTAAAGAGGGAATTTCAATCATCACTAGTGTTGCACCGATACCAGTATCAGGCGGGGCCCCGATCCAGCGCTAAAATGGTGGCATCGGTATCGGCGAGTACCAACATATAGGCAGAGGTGGAAAGTAACGAAATACATTTACTCAAGTTACTGTATTGAGCAGGTTTTTTGTGTATTTTGTATTTTTCAAGTAGTTTTTAAAATCGTTAATTTAAATTTTACTTGATTACGTTTTGAGTGAAGTATTGTATTTCGTTACATTACAAATCCCATCCGTTACTAAGTAAAAAGAAAACTTTGGAAAAACCGAAAGGAAGACAAAAAATCGGCCCCGGAAGCACTGCAGCGAGTGACGTGATCAGCATGTAGATCGAGGCTACCAGGCACCAAGTCTTTCTGTAAGAGATTGGGAACGAGATGGAGGTGGATCAGGAGAGCGACGACGGTTCAGAGAACGTTTCACTAGAAATGCTAGCTGAAACATTGAATTCTGCTGCCCAAAAACCACGAAAATCCTCGGCCACATTTGAAAGACTGCTTTTCATTTAAATTCAAGATGGCCGACAGTATCGTCATGCAATGCCAGATGAGTCTGCCAAAGGTGACTGAACTGGCAGCATTCAATAACTCCACATCTAATCTGCGGAAGCATGTTTTGGGAAGTATTTAGTGCATTGGTACTTCAAACAAAGTTTTCATGACTAATAGCCAATTAGCAAAACAACCTGTTTCGTGGCATTGCTGATTTTGTCTAGCACAGGGGTCGGCAACCCGCGGCTCCGGAGCCGCATGCGGCTCTTTCATCCTTATACTGCGGCTCTGAGTGGCTTGGGAAAATAAATTGCTAAAAAAAAAACTAAGTATTTCATTTAAGTGGGAGGGATCCCCTGCCCCGTTCAACTTTTTGTTTTTAATGTAACTAAGTAACTTTTACTTAAAATACATTCTAAATTAGCTACTAATTACTTTTACTTGAGTAATTTTTCTACTGGGTAATTTTACTTGTACTTGAGTAATATTTCATCCAAGTATTGGTACTTTTACTTGAGTATGATATTTTATTACTTTTTCCACCTCTGCAAATAGGGCATCGATACCATTTTGAGAGCCTAAAGTTTCTTCAACTATTGTCACTCATTCCAGGTAGGAAATAAAAAGTTCTACTGGATTCACTTTGTTTTAGTCTTTTTCCTGTTTCACAAAGGAAGGCAGCAGCTTGACATGAAGCCATGATGGCGATTATTTTACATCCAAGTAGTATAAAGTTCTTCATATATACACAGAACAATTTCAGACAGATGGTATCGGCCAATAGTGCACAGCCAGGCATAGGATATCAGGTCTAAAAAATGGCATCGGTGCAGCACTCGTTATTATTATTACTATTGCTGCGTACTTCAGGTCTGCTGGATACAAAAAAGTTCCTACAATATCTCTTATGAATGTTAAAAACCAAACAAAAAAACAACTGGAATCTTACCAGTAAAGGAGCATCACCCGCTAACAAACCAGCTACATCTTCATGTTACTCTATAAAGAGCTTTATGACATAAAGATGTAATAAATTGCTTATTTGTGTCTTTGCTTGGTGGGTTAGTCCATTTTTTTTCTGAAATCTCTGTTTCTAAATAAAACATAAAAGATAACATTATAATTAAAGAGATAAATCAGCTGAACCAGGAGCATAAATGATTGTTTTTATTGCTGCATGTGAAGCAGCAGTCAGATGATGAATAAAAGGTTCAGCCTTCTAGATTGAATTTATCGCTGATGATTCCTTAATCAGAAGGCGGTTTAATTAAGCAGCCATACTGCTAACGTTGCTAACACAGCCGCAACAGGAGCACTCATTTCTTCCCCACACACGATGGCGCCCTGTGCAGTGAGCCGCGTTGTTCCCATTAAACGCTGCCTCAGCTGTGATCAGCCTGAATCCCAACAAACTAAAACTTCAATGCATGAAGAAGCGTAATCCCAGATTATTACATTTTATATTTAGCGTGCCGGATAAAAAATCCCTAATCTGTTTAAATCTTTTCTGTTTGTGCTTCTCTCACCCCCCCCCAACTCATAAATCATCTGTTTTTATGCAAAAACATGCAACTGTTTTGCATTTTTTATCTCACCCGACTCAATTACACATTAATCCAGTCTAAGTACCACATAGGTAGTTAAAAACACGGCAGCTCTTTTTTTTATATATATTTTTACATTTCTTTGATGTTTTTTTTTATTTTGCTCAGATTTTCTGCAGGTTCGCCTGAATTTCCAACCCTGACAAACAATAACGGAGATTTCTATTTAATTATGAATAATATCTGCTAAAAGCAGATGTTAATAAAGTGATTAGCTCAGTAAGATTATTTCTTTAACTTCATTGGACTCTTAGGGACAGATCTGCCTCACAGAAAGAAGAGGAAGAGATTTTCAACAGGACAACAAGCCAAAAGATTTTTATTTTTCAGTAATGGATATTAAATTCAATCATCTTGCTTCAAGATATTGAGTAAGTCTGTGAAATCCTGGTCTATTGTGATCAGAGCGCAGGAAGCAAAGACTGATCCGAGTCTAAATTCTTTTAAAAGATGCACAAATGAGGAAATCCTATCATCAGGATTCATTTGACTGCTTTCAGGTGTGCGACGCATGGAAAGGTTTTTAAGGGACAGAGTGAATAAGATGTATTAATAGATTAGGGTCAGTGGGAGCTTTCCCTTGTGGATAATTAGTGCACTAACCCTTTCAATCCAATCCAATTACAATTAGTGCATTTCCCTACCACAGAGCCGATGACACAAGCAGGGAATTCAATTGAGACACGAAAACAAACTTGTAATTAAAGGATTCCACAGTTCCTGAAAAATGCAACCTGTGACTTCTAGACTCTTCCACAATCGGCAGCAGGTGCTGTATCTTGTTTACAGCCACACTGATACATTAACTCTGTGTCTGGAAGTCAGCGCAGCTAAAAGAACCTTTCTGGAAATGTTGTGGACTCTGTGAACTTTGCTTCACTCCCGCTGTATGTTGAAATGCAGCTTGGCCAAGGACGAGAGGCGAGACGCGCAATGGGGCAGAGCTGGAAGAGCCCAGTGTTTCTTGGAGATATGCAGGTGCTGCAAGAGGGCGGGGCCATGACTCCACAAAGTAACAATGTGAGTCATGGCCAATAACAGGGAGTCACATTTTTTATATAAAAGTCTATTGATGCCATGTGGCCTTTGAAAGGAAGGGAAATTACGCTGGAAATCGGATGCTTGTGAGTTTTTCACCGCAGTAAATGCCTGTGAGGGCGGCTGGTGTTCCCTGAGCGCGTTGCTCTTCTGTTTTACACAACATGCAGAACAGAAACCAAGAAACACGGCCAAGCTTTTATGCCCCTACCAGCAGGATTTTATCTAATCTCTAGTTTACCTTAAAAAAATAAAATTAATTCATTCTGTGTTTGTCTCTGCTCATGCCTGCTCAGCCGTCTGAAAGGGAAGAAATGATCATTTAATTATTGATTAGGCTGCAAGTAAATTTAGCATAAAATGTGTCTCTGTGACACGCAGCAGCAGCGGACATGATTTAACTGACAGATAATTATAATCGTAAATCTAAATATGAATAACTGCTTTTAAATATAAGTAAAATATAAATTTTATTTAATTCTTAGATTTTCTACTTGTTTATTTAAACCTAATTTAACATTTTGGGATCTGTGTTGGAAATGCACTGAAAAGAATGAAGCTACCGCTTCTGACATTTACTTAATCACATTTAGTTCCTTTAACACAATTGTTTGATGTTCAACCCTGCAAACATCAAACAATTGTGTTAAAGTGACTAAATGTGATTAAATTCCAAAAACGGATGCATTATTTATTTCAATGTGATTCCAGGTAAAAGTCAGGATCACACACTGAAAAAATAATGCAACCGTTTCTGGCAATTGCTTGATCATATTTAGTTACTAAATATAATTAAGTAAATGCCAAAAGCAGTTGCATTATTTATTTCCGTGCAGGCTGATAATAAATGTTTTTATTGAAGTTCAGGAATGGAAGATTTTTAGAGATTCAGATTCCTTCATTTATAAGTTTTATTCTGGCCTTTTCATCATGCATGATAAATATGGCAGCCATATTGGAGGTCAGACGTCTGACTTTATTGGACAAAAGAATGAGGAAAATACCAGAAGACAGTAAAGACAGTGTTTGCCAGAGGTGTTCGAGGCTCCTCCTTTATTACACACATAGCTGCTTGTTTCGCTTATGCCTCGGGAAGGCTCGGAGTTACACTCTTGGGTTGAAAGAAGAAAGAATGAGGTGAGAATGAGTGATTTACCTGAACCCGCGGTCGGTGCAGTGCAGCCAAACGGAAGGCTCAGCCTTGATAGTGGTAAAAGTGTTTTGCCCTTGAGGAATCACTTCTGGGTAACTTTCCACTTGGCCGAACGCCTGAGCCGCAGAAACTTGCGCAGCAGCTTTACTGGCCCGATCCACCCTCCTGTACCACACACAGCTGCACTCCTGCCGGGGTCCGAAAGAGGTCTGACCGCAGTATTTGCACAGAAAAGCAGGTCCGTCGTAAGCGCCCCGGTGAGGCTGGGGCTGCTCGCCGTACGCGCGCTCCGTTGCGCACCAGCCCCCCTGGGTCTCCCTGTACAGGTCCGCATCGGCAGGGTAGGCAGAGTATGGCTTTAAAGGTCCGGCTTGAGCCACTTGAGGATTGGTGGGAACCTCCGACATGGAGCTCATCATCATGTTGGAATCTTTGCAAACAAATCTGGAGATCACCGATCCGCGCGTCACGGACTGCGCGCTCTCCATGTCCCCGAACTGGTCCGCGCAGCTCACCTGCCGCAAACCGTGGCAAACCTCCCCAAACTCATCCACTCCCAGGCTGCCGCCGTCCCGGATCAGCCTGCCCCCCTCCGCGCCTTCGGAGGAGCCGTTTCCTGCGGGGTCTGCGAAGGCGCTGCCGGGGCAGAGGTTGATCCCGCCGAGCGGAGAGGACAGCGGGTCTAAGCCCAGAGACACGGACACGGCTCGGCTGAGCTCCAGGGTCGGACACGCGTAAGCGTCGATGTTCTCCCTGTCGCTCAGCATCGCAGACCTCTCCGTTTCTTCTCGCTCGGACGCGCTGCAGCGCAGAAAGGCCATCTTCGCCTCTCGTCCTTGGAGTTAGAGCAGAGTGAGCGGAGAGAAAACAAACCACTTTTTCCCTCCCCGGGGAGAAAACGCCTACTCACAGAGACTCCACTCATGCGTCTCAGCGGATGGAGGATTCAGATTAGCGACGCCGCTGAAGGGAAGAGACGAATGAAGCGCGCAACAACTTTTTTCTAACTCTTTCCTACAAAGAAAGCATTTTGAGGAGCAGCGCTCCGCGTCTAACATGAAGCTGGACTGTAGCCGATAGAGTCAGCAGGGGGAGGACTTTGAACCTAGATTGGATACTATGTCAGATCTGCAAAAAGAACAGTCACCAGGGCGCAAACGATCCCTAACCTCACCTATTATCTCTGTGCGTTTGCCTCCTGATATTTGGGTGCAAACAAAAAAGAAAAAAGTAAACAGATCTCGCGAGATTAGGCTGTTAATCTACTTAAAAATCATTGTGCACATTTACTAGCAGAACTGCAGCAGCCATAGTTTCACAATCCAGCTTGTTTGTCCCCTCAGAGCGCACGTAAAAGATAATAAATGCCCGGTGTGCTTAAACTAATCATTTATTTTATTATGAACCTCTGTGGTCAAATGGAAAGAAATAATAACAATCATTGAACTTCATTAAGAACCCAAATATTTTGATAGGATTTCAAAAGAGTATAAAGGAGGAAGGAAATATTTCCCAAAACTTTCCATAAACCAAAGACTTTTAGAAATCAGTGAAAATGCTGCTGCATTTGGCATTTACTTTATTATATTTAGTTACTTTTAACACAATTGTTTTATGTCCTGCCCTGCTAACATGAAACAATTGTGTTAAATTAACTAAATATGATTAACTAAATCCCAAAACAGTTATTTATAAACATTATTTTTATCAGTTTAGGGCGCTCTGTGAAATACTTTAAAATCAACATTTCCAGCCAATAGTGTTTTTAGAATCTACAACAAGGCCTTATTCTCTTTGTAACACCAAAAAATATGGATATAATGATGTCAAAAATGAATACCAATGTAATAACCAGAAACACTAACCTGCTCAAATATATTAAGAAAAATAACAAAAGTGCTTCTAGAAGAAATTCATGACAAAAACACTCAGAGTGAAAGAAACACATTTTTATTGTTCCATCATAACCTTAGAGGCATTAATGCTGATAGTGGGACTGACATTCTGTAGTTTATAAACCTGAAAATATTTGTTAACTGGGATTATTAACTTTTTAACTTTACTTTTTAACTTTTTACCTTTTTTCTTGACTTGTTACATTTTTTAAATTAATTTACAGTAGGTAATATAACATTATATTGCTGTATACTAATATCAACATTAAGTGTAGAGATCAAAAAGCAAGTTCTGTATGAGTCTCTCGGGATCTTCTACTGTGATTCAACTACAGGCGTCTTCAACGTTTTCCAGGCCAAGGACCCCAAACTGATTACGAGATGGAGCGGGGACCCCCTAATTATATATATTGTCTGAAATAGTGTTCTATCAAACTGGTTCTATAGTCACTCTATTACAGATGCAGTAATGTAACTAAAGTAATCCCTCCCTGGGATTATTAAAGTATTTCTGATTCCTGGTTGATGGGACAGGTGTTGTGAATGAAACGGTGCCCAGCTTGAAAGAGCTCCTGTGTGTCGCTGAATGTGAGCATTGATGACTGAAAGACATCTTCTGCCTCCATTTATCTGTTTACTGCAGTCTGTTGGGTTCATGTTAATGTGGATTTAAAGACATTTCAATTGGTGGTAAAAAATTGAAGGAGGGAATGCAAAAAGAAATCTAATCAACAAAAACTTTCGCTCCCCCATGCAGTACCTCCATGGACCCCCTGTTGAAGACCTCTGCTCTACTACATGCGAAGGAAAAGGGCTCCAAGGCCACATCTAGCAGAGTGGGGATGCAGAAGTTGTGCATTTTTTTAAGGAATATAACAAACTTAAGGATGGATATTATATTGGGACGCCCAAAATCATGATTTATTGCCAAATAGATTTTTTCCAACACCCCAACGTTTAATGACTCGTCTAATTGGTCAAATGCCAACATAAGATGAACAGCCATGTAGCAGGATCTATGCTGAATGGCTGGACATAGATCTTCTGCTTCTAGACCTGAGGGATGGGGGGGCTCCATTTGTAAGGGGTATGCAAGTGATCAAGAATGCTAACTTGGCCTATAAAGGGTTAATATGAGCATGAAATGCTTTGGGCTCCATGTAGAGTGCTATGATTCAGGTCCAGATCACTCTAAACACCATCCTCACTGAGAAATATCAGGCTGCAGGAGATGGAAAGCTGGACAGATTGATCCAAAATATGGATAAAAATTTGGTATCAGATTGAAAGTATGGAGATGAGATCAATGCTTTAGTGTGAAATTCACTCTTTTATGCACGGCTTCCAACAGGCAGCGCCTCCATCTCACCGCCAGCCCTTTGGGATTCATTTTCTGATTTATTTTGTATTGCTTTATTTTCTGTGGTTAATTTTCTACTCTTTATTGTTGTAGTTTATCAGCTCTCTACCTAAAAGGAGATTGTGTTTTGATTTGCACTCAAATAATGTTTTATTTAAGACACATTTCCTATTGTTGCTGTTTATTAGAAATAATAGTAAAACTGACAGACCGTAGTAGCCACGTTTGCTCAGCCATGTCTTCTTTTCTTTTTAGGGCTTTCAGCACAAAATTGCGGTTTCCTCGTACTGTGTGAGTTTTAGCTGCGTGCAACAATTAAAAAAAATCGCACAGTGTATGCTCGGTTTAAGAAGTGATGGGAAGATGGAACAATCATCGTAGAAAGAGGCTGTAAAAGACTCAAGGGATTCAGATCAGGACTCTAAAGCTGGTATTCACATTTATGTTTAGCACATAGGAATGGGCAACTTGGAGGTGTGTGTGCAGCGACATATTGGTCTGCCGCAATAGCAGAGTTTATTCAATTGTAGTAAAATACAAAGAAGTTTGTATTTGTACTTGACAAACTGGTTAAAGTTACTTATGAATCTCCTGCTGGGCTTAACACAAACGTTTCAGATAATTTTTTTCCAAAGTTTTAAAAAAACTGTCCACTTTTGTCAGTCATTTGGAGTCAAGCTTAGTGCCAGAAGGAAATGTATAATAAAATGTACCCAGGCTGTACTTTCTTCTATTCATTGTCTAATTAAGCCTGAACATTTCACAGACAGTTGAAATAGTTATTTATGGTAACCCAAACCAATCTATTCTAATAACATATCTTTGTAAAAACAAAAATATAAAACCTAAATTTTGCGAGACGATAATATAACTGTAAGTGGAGCGATGATGCTGGGAATTGGGTGTGTTGTGTTTATTACTGGCATAACTGATAATTGGTGACAATATGCCTCGTTAAGCACATTGAAAGCGATGCTCAGTGATTCATAAGGAAACAGAAAACAGAGTAGAAGTGATATTTGCTTCTGTTCATTTTATTCTCTAAAATAAGCAGCAGCGAACTTGGGATATAAACTCAACTGGCTCCAATGCTTTCAATGAGTCCAAACTGGGGAAACATTCAGAGGGGTCATTTCACAAATGCAGCTGTGCATAATCAGAGTGTCCAGGACATCAGGGAAACAAGGAGGAGAAAAAAGATCCCAGTTTCCAACTGTGGGTGGAACCTTTGATGTGCTTTCAGATTGCAGGGAACTGAATAAATAATTTACTATCACATTCGGTTACATCAAGACATCTTTTCAGGTAATAATCAGCTCCTACTGATCTAAAATATCCAGTTCATCCTAATGCTGCTCTGACCCTGACTGTCTTACATGGACTCAAACTCATCAATGCGCTGCTTCGTGTTGCCCTGGCGAATCTGACGCAGGGTCTTGTATTTGTCACGGCCTGCCCTCACGTTCTCAGCATGGATCAGGTCATTGGGGGTCTTCTTGCTCTCGTCTACGGCTCTGGCCAGCTCCGTGCTCAGGAACTGAAAAAGAACAGAGGAAAATAGAGTCCTTTAGCCTCAGTCTGGAAGACTATTCAGCAACCCTGCTCCTTTCTCCCACACTCCTCCAGTTCCGTCTGAAAAGAAAAGAAAAAGCATTGGGTTGGCGTCATTTATTCAGGCTATTTTTTCGTTCCGTCATGGTTTAAAGCACCATATGTTGTTCAGACTGCAGACGGGATCTGACCCTTTATCCAAACCATAACAATCAGGATGTACCATGAGTGCAGCGACGTTTAATTACGTAAAGTGCACTTAGTTCTGACAAAAGCACAACGTGGAAGAGCAATTACTCTGCCATATTTAAACGAAGAGTCAAACCTGAAAACAAATAGGAGAGAACAAACTAAATTAAACCGCAAATTAAAAAAATGCTTTTAAAAGTATAAACTGAGTGACACAAAACAGAAAGGTCTCTAATGCACAAATATTTACCATCATTTCTCTGAGTTACTGGGGGCCTGCCACAGCGAAGCAAGGAGCATAGAATCCCACCTGATGCCCTTTGCATAATTTAAACTGCCCTGCATCATTTTTGACCCAAGTAATAATTCATTTGGGATATATTCAGTTCTATTCAGTTTATTTCTATAGCTCCAATTCACATCATGTCATCTCAGGGGACTTTATAGAGGCAGTCCAACCAGATCATCCAGTCAGATTGATTCAAAGTTTTCTATCTAAGCAAAACCAGTTCATTGCATCGACTCATCCAAGCATGCTTGTAGCGACAGTGGAGAGGAAAAACTCCCCTTGAACAGGAAGAAACCTCCAGCAGAACCAGGCTCAGAGTGAGCGGCCATCTGCTGAGGCCCACTGGGGTTCAAGGAGACAGAAGCAGACATAGAAAAAGAAGCATAGATACAAAAGGCAACTGTCAACCAGCTCCACAGGCGGCCCCGTCCAGGAAACACACAGCCAGGCAGACGAGCTCCGAGCCAGCTCCCATGTCAGAGGATGAAGAGAGCACATCCAGTTAGTCACAGTCAGAGAAACAGGACTACACTGGAAAACAGGCCAAGCTCCAGCATCTAGAAACAAAGGTGTTGATGGCAGCAGCACAGCTGATATTTCTCTCCAGGATGGAGTCACAGCCAAACAGGAACAGACCAGATGAAGCTACTATGAGAAAAAGCAGAGAGAGCAGAACGTTAGAGATTGAACTAACAGATTCTGCAGAGTGGGAGAATAGAGATAGAATGAAGCAGAATGATGAAAAAGGGGTCCCTATGTCCTCCAGCAGTCTAAGCCTATAGCAGCAGAACTATAGGTTTATTTTTCAGCTGAATATAAAGGAAGAAATAGATTCTCTCTGTGGGTTGCCCTGCTCAAAAACTTGCCTGTGACTTTAGAGGGTCGGATGCGTCTCTGAATGAGTCATGTGACCCAGAGCACCACTTTACAGCAGCCTGAGCTCCCCTTAAACTCCAAGTCTTGGCAATTTTTAACAACTACCTTCACTTTTTCTTACCATAAAACTTGGAGTACTAACAGATTAATAATCTCTGCAGCTCCTCAAGAGTTACCAGCCTCCTGGGGGCTTCTCGGTTAAATCTCCCCTTGGCATGTCTTTAGTCGATTGATAGAATAGTGCTGTGAGATGTGTTCTTAATTTTAGGATATTGTTTTTAACCTAAACCTACTTTACATCTTGACCTCTGACCTTTCTGCTCCGCTCTTCGGTATTTGAGGCAGATTTTGTTCTGTAGCCTCTGAAGCTATTTATCTGGAGGTTAAACATAGAAAACTTTGAAAGGAAACTGGTTGAGCTGGATTGAATTAACTGCAATGGAGACGAATAAAACATCCTTTTGTATAAAAGCTCTTTGAGATGCACACATCCTTTTTATTCCACCTCTTATTAAACTACTGCTTTGTGTTGTTCTGTCCTATAAAATCTAAAAGATCATTGAATGTATGGGTTATAATGGAAGAACGGTAAAGTCCTGAGGGTTTGATCCTTTGTTTGGCCCTTCACAACTATTATTAGATTAATTTAATAATTAGAAAAGGTTTTTTGGTTCACAGGTTCATAAGTTTTTCTCCAGACATCTGAGCTAATACCTCTGAGGCTATTTGGAAAAAACGTGGGGTTTTCCTCTTCATACAGCCTCGTTTGAGGTGAGGATGTCATATGTTTTGTATAAAATCATCTCATTGTCCCTGTGCATCATTTGTCTCACCGTTCATCCGGTGCATTTTCCTAATTCACATAAAAACTTCCCAGAAATTTGGGATCTTTCCTGCAGGTTTAACCTTCACGTCAAACAGGACTCCACGGAGACAGAGGTGATGCTTTCATTTCTCGGTGCCCTGGGCAAGTCGCTGCTAACTTGGAGAGCAAACACGCCAACACAAGTCAAGACAAGATTTTAATAAAATTTCTGCCATGAATAATTTCCTCTTTTATGTTTGAATTGTCCACCAGTCAAACTGGGATTTTAGGAATTTCTCACCAGGCCGGGACTCAGAGCGGTAACGGCCATGTCAAGGACACAGGCGTAGCCAGGACAGTGTTATAAGGGTGGCCAGGAAATAACCAATGTAGGCTGGGGAGGGGGCAAAGCGGATAGATGCCAGAACCTCAGGGTTAAGCTGTTCCAACAGGAAAATTAACAAGCAGAACATCCATATTTTCTAAATGAAGACAAACTTCCTGCAGCCTTTGCTAACAAATATTCCACTTGAGATTATTCTTGCTGCCATCGTCTGTTTTAGAGGGAAGAGTGGTAGGCGTGGCCTCAGGGGTGGCCAATGATTGGCTAAGAGTGACCATGGCCACCCCTGGCCCCCCATCTAGCTCCTCCCCTGGTCAAGGACCTCAGCCTTGGTACATGGGGCGCCCACTTGACCTCTGCACCATCACCGCGCCCTTCATGCATTTCTAATTATAATTCAGCCCCAGTTGATCCAAGTCTCAGAAAAAAGATGTTTTCACATTTATATCATATAAATATAGTCCTACAAACAGTAAGTTAATTTTCATCTTTTCTCCTTTTTTCTGTTTTTCCTTTCCTGTTCTACTTACATCGCAGTGTCCATAAAATCTGTTAAACTCCCTGCATAATTATAATAAAGCTATTTATATGCATAAATCAAGCGGATCACTATGGCGATAGCCGTACTGCTCCACTGGTGAAAGTAAAATCTGTTGGGATCTTTTTGGCATCAAGACAATTATTCTTATTGCTGCATTGCCAGACAGGACACTGTGAAAAAAAAAAAAAAAAAGTTCAGTCTGTAGATTATTTCTGTTGAGTGTTAGATTTTGTCAAAAACTAGAACTCATCTTAAGCTGGGGATACACCCTACGAGTTACTGCCCTTTTTCGGACCGATTCTGCGAGAATTTTTTGTGCATCCTGCGTGGTGTAGGGTACTGAGGGTAACGAGGGGCGATCGGCTTCTAACGACCACCTCCCCATCAGGAATCTTAAGGTCTGGAGAAAATCAAAGTCCAGTCGGCCGTTGTGAAGTGAGGCAAATCCTGCTGTTGAAGCAGAGCTATAAGCCGATTTACCAGAACCTCACGCACTGAGCATGAGCAAACAAGGCAGTTCTTCTTCTTCTTCTTCTTGGCTTTTTCTCATAGTAGCTTCATCTGGTCTGTTCCTGTTTGGCTGTGACTCCATCCTGGAGAGAAATATCAGCTGTGCTGCTGCCATCAACACCTTTGTTTCTAGATGTTGGAGCTTGGCCTGTTTTCCAGTGTAGTCCTGTTTCTCTGACTGTGACTAACTGGATGTGCTCTCTTCATCCTCTGACATGGGAGCTGGCTCGGAGCTCGTCTGCCTGGCTGTGTGTTTCCTGGACGGGGCCGCCTGTGGAGCTGGTTGACAGCTGCCTTTTGTATCTATGCTTCTTTTTCTACGTCTGCTTCTGTCTCCTTGAACCCCAGTGGGCCTCAGCAGATGGCCGCTCACACTGAGCCTGGTTCTGCTGGAGGTTTCTTCCTGTTCAAAGGGAGTTTTTCCTCTCCACTGTCGCTACAAGCATGCTTAGTGTGAGGGATTGCTGAAGAGTCAATGAGTCGATGCAATCAGCTGGTTTTCCTTAGATAGAAAACTTTGAATCAATCTGACTGGATGATCTGGTGAACTGGAAAGTGACCTGAGATGACATGATGAGAATTGGAGCTATAGAAATAAACTGAATAGAATTTATTGGCTTATGAGAGCAAAACCTACAGTGAAGCAGGTCAGAGTGTGGTCTGAGGGTGCCATGGAGAAACTCCAGGACTGCTTTGAAGGCTCTGACTGAAACATGTTCAAATTGCAGTAACCGAATTGGAGCTATAGAAATAAACTGAATAGAAATGATGGTTTTTAGATGTACAGTGTGATCAGGTAGATCGCATCAGAGCTTCGGGTCACACAGTAAAAGAACAAACATGGCGAGCTGTGAACTTTTAAACCCTGAGGTTTCATCGTACAGTTTGAGATGTAGCTGAAAATATCGTACAGTTTATTCCTGATTGTAGTCATCTGTGGTGGCTGACATATTCCTGACAGTGAACACAGCTGGATATCAGCAGGTCCAACACCTCATTGACTGGGCTTTTAGTAACAGATATGTTGTTCAGTCTAACACCCCCACCACAACTCACCCCCAAGGAACTGACAGTCTGGGTGAAGAGCCACCCCCGCCTTAAAACCTCCACCCGTCTCACCTTAAGGTTCTTCTGCAGCCTCTGGTTCTTCTGCGCCTCTGTCACCCTCTGCTCCTCGCTGCGATCTCGGACCATGCCCGGAGAGGTCAACTCGGCGCTGGCCTCGGCGCTGCTCTCATCCGTCTCGTCGTGCTCTTGCATGTGGGGATGGATTGAATTCTGGATTTGGACACCCATTAGTTTAGTCTTCAGCTCCTCTTTGGTTCGCTCCAAATCATTCTCTACCATCACGGCCTGTCGACACACAGAGGACGACCCTAAGACGCTTTGGCTGCAGCCTATAGATCTGAAGGAGTTACTGTTTGACTGGTTGCTTTAAAGAAAAGCAAAAACAATAATTAATGTGCTGAAACATCTTTATCTTTGTCCCGCCGGTGCATTTTCCTTTTTTTCACCACAATCACTTATTTAGAAAAGCAGCTGCTCTACATACAGGTTAAGTCTGCAAACTAATCTGCTTTGAATAAACTTTAAAGAGTCCTTCAGAGAGATTTGCTCTCCCATTAAATGCTTTCCCAGATGCAACCATAGATTCTAGGGCTGTCACTGACAGGAGAGGTTTGAAAAAGAAAATACGTGTTTTTGGCTGCTGATCAGCTTTTACCCAACACAGACCTGCTGTCACACATCCCGCTTTCATCCTCTATCCCTCTCTAATTTTCTCTCACCCTTTTCTGCCATTGCTGCGCCTCCTCGTCCTTTTTCTTCTTGGCTTCTTCCAGCTGGGAGATCTTAGTGGTAAGCTCAGCCAGCTCAGTGGCCTGCACAAACCATGCACACAAATGGAAGAGAGTAAAGAGCGCTTCTGATCTGAGGTCATTGTGCTCTGTTTGTGCGTGTGAAGTGTGCAGGAGAGAATGAACCAGCGCCATGGCTGCTGTGTGAAATACATTCCTAAATGCGTAGCAAATTTTTAAAAATGTAATATAATTTGAAGGATCAAAATCTTTTAGATCAGATTTGAGGGCTTGATTCAGAGGATTGCATTGAGTGGGAATACCAGGCCTTCCTGGCTCTTGATCTGGGTCTCTGAATGCTGCAGCAGGGCAGCCTTGGCCTCCACTGCAGCTCTGCGGTCGCTGTCCAGACGCTCTGCCTCCTCCTGAGCGATCGTCCTCTCCTTCTCCAGCTCCAGCGCTCTGCGGGTCTGCTCCTCCAGCTCTGAAGCAGACAGAGGCATATACATGGTTTCGCTTTGTACTAATCCTGAGATCCGGTCTGTTTAAATGTGTTAATCTGCTTTCTAAAACGCGCTTTAACAGAAAGCATCCCCACAAAGCTCACAGTAATAAAGATTTGTATTCAGAAAGTTGTCAGACCATCCTGAGCTCTCTTTGTCTGCTCTTCAATCCGTCTCAATCTTTCCATCAGCTCCATGGTCTCACGGGCAATCTTCTCTGTTTCCTTCTCAGCGTTTTCTCGCTTTTTTTTCTCACTCTCCAATAGAGCCCTGACAAGGAGAATTGTGCATAAATACACATTAGAAAAACCTCCTCTGCTGACAGTTTTTCCCTCCTTTAAGTACAGAGAACACAGTGTAAACTGTAAAAAAAAATCCAATCAAATAGGAGAGTCCTCTTAGTTAAGCCTGGTCTACCTTTCCATTTGCCTCTTGTTCTTCTCCTCTCTGGCCTGGGCCTTCATCTGCTGCACCTCGATGGAGTCGGGTTTGCGTCTGCGCATGTACAGGTCATGATTTCCCATGCACAATGCCAGGATGCGTTTGTTGATGCGGAGACGAGGCACGTAGAAAACAAAGTCCTAGATCAGAAGAATCAGCAAACACTTTTAGCACTAATGACATTCAAACATTTGTTTTATTTTTCTGCCATAAGGCAATGGGTGTGAATCTAAAAAGTATTTTTTATTTGTTTTTGAAGAATTGAGTTATTTATTTCCTTGCAGTCTCTTGAACGATCCCCTAAATCTGGGCATGGAGTCAAAAGATAGGCAGAGGGGGCGGAGCTCATGTCTGGAGATGAGATCAAGTAGCAGCTGCTGTTGAAACTCTACTTGCTGTAATTTGTTCTTTTGCAATTTGATCATTTCACCAAATCAAATGAGTTCTGTCACACCTCCTGTCTACAGACGCACTGAAAGAAATCTGCCTTTCTTGGAAGACATTTTTGGAAAAACTTCAAATTTAGTTGTAAAAGTTTTTTTTTTAAGAGAAATTATTTGAAATTTCTTTTCATCCCAGATGGATCCATGACTCCAGATATAGAGACAATAATGCTGTTCTTCACTTTAGCCAAATGAAAACTAGAAACTTGATAATTATTCAGGAGGTTTTATGTCGATACGTCGTCACATAAAGGGAAGAAGCTCATCCCACCTCTCTAAGTTTATCTGTAAGTTTATCCTTTTCTGTTCCTCTGATCTGCTCATTTCTAACCCTGTCCACCGCGGACAATCCCAGCCAAAGTCTCAGCCTCTTTAACTCTAATACCTGCAGCTCAGCCTCCTGTCTCGTCTCACTACTCTTAAATACATTTTGTTTTTCAATCTTGGTGACCAACCCGCGCACCTTACTGCCTTCAATAATAAATGGAGTCCATCTTTGTGTAATTTAACCTGCGTTTTATTGTGTCGTGTAACGCTGAGACGACATTCGGCAGCGATGCTTTTCTTTCCAGTCACAGAGGAGCTGATCTGATCAGACAGAGTCTGAAAGCTTTCCAAAATAAAAGGCTTTCAGATGCTCTGATTGGATTTTTGCAAAGACTCAAAGGGCTAAAAACAAATGTTTTTCTAATTTTTTAAAATCTTTTTTAAAAGTTGCATCCCTTTCTAATCAAAATTGTGCACAACTTTTGTTGATCGATTAATATGAATGTGAATAAAGTACCGTTTTTTTTTTTTTATTCTCTCTAGAAAAAAAAATAAATGTCAGGTAAAAAGCTCAATAGTTATTATTGATGTTCAGTGACGGTTTTAGAACAAAAGAATAACAATCACACCTTAAAATAACAGAGTAAAAGTGAATCGATTAGTTTATGACCATTGATCTAACAGATAGAAACCATCTGATCCTTAAGCTGGAAAACTTAATCCAATGGATGAATCTGTCACATCAGATCGGTTTAGTATCACACTGCAAAAAACGTTTGCTCTTAATGAGAGGATGTTAATATGACTGAATGCCAACTGAATTCGTATTTTGGCTCTAAATCGGCTGCCGTCTGTATCTATGCTTCTTTTTCTATGTCTGCTTCTGTCTCCTTGAACCCCAGTGGGCCTCAGCAGATGGCCGCTCACACTGAGCCTGGTTCTGCTGGAGATTTCTTCCTGTTCAAAGGGAGTTTTTCCTCTCCACTGTCGCTACAAGCATGCTTAGTGTGAGGGATTGCTGAAGAGTCAATGAGTCGATGCAATCAGCTGGTTTTCCTTAGATAGAAAACTTTGAATCAATCTAACTGGATGATCTGGTGAACTGGAAAGTGACCTGAGATGACATGATGTGAATTGGAGCTATAGAAATAAACTGAATAGAATTAAAAAGAAGAAAGTCAGATATTAAGCATTTAAATTAAAATAATTGCAATTGTTTTCTTCTGCAAATTCTGCTACCTACCTGCTTAAATGAATTGCACCTATTTTAAGAAAAATAACTATATGTAGCGTATTTCTTCAGTACATGGGGCACTGACCCCCATTAGCCCCTGTCTAGAGCCGCCCATGCCAACATTACTACTAAAACGGAATGAATTCATCATGTTTTACCTACCGGAGCTTTCTTGTCAATCGGTTTGATGACAAATTTCTTGTCATTGAATGAGATGTTTCGTATCTCGCTCCAGGGGAAGCCAATCTTTGGGGTCATCCTGCAGAAATAGTACTGGTAAGTAAATTAGTAAAACATGTTGAACAGGAAACAGAGACTGCAGCAGTCCAGATGTTTTTATAAATACACATGTGCTTTAGGAGCCATCTTTGGGACATCTGTGCCTCAGTCTGTCCCGTTCTTAGACCTACTTGTCTTTCTTGTCGTAGATGTTGAGCCCCAGTGCATCCACTCCCAGCCACAGCTCAGAACCTTTCTTGTTCTTGATGTTAAAGTAGTTGACTCCATACATTTCCAGGTCTTGGGCTATTTTCAGATACTCCAGCATGGCGTCCTCCCTGCAGCCGTGTACAGGTTAATGACATGCTGAAAAGGCAGGTTTTCTAAAAGCCTATTAGCGCTCTGTGTCTCAGCATCTCCACACCTCAGCATTCCCTTGTGCTCTTCATGCCACACCTGGATTCTTTCCTCCCACTGATTGTTATTCAGCTTGTGCTGCTCCAAAACCCTGGTTTTATCCGTAAAGAGGACAGTTAGAATTAGAATTCAGGTGACTGGAACTGGAATTAAGGTGAACTTTTTTGGTTTATACTTATATGCACGGGATGCTCTACCTCTGTGGCAGCAGCTTCTCCTTGGCGAGGTATCCTGGTACGTGATAGTAGCTGCTGTAGTCTCCATGTTTGACCTGCACTGCGTACGACGCCAGCAGCACTGCGGTCTCAGGTGGACAATATATGTCATCGTTCAGGATGCTCTCTTTCACCTGAAACGGGGAGGGGAGACCAAGGCTCCTGTGAAAAGGTACAATACAGGCTGACACTCTGATTGTCTCTCCGTGTGACAGGAGAGCATCAGTTACTTCTGAAATGTCTTAAAAAAAAAAAACAGAAAAGGGAGAAGTTCTTTATCCTTAAGCACCTTTTACTCCAATTAGTAAATAGCATCATAGAGACTGATGGTAACTTTGAAGAGGCTGCAGAGATCTAGCGCTCAGGAGGAAGCATATGTTCACATGACATTCGACAACCTGCTAATCCTGTGCTTATAGAAGAGTGGCGAGAAGAAAGCCCTTCCTGGGAGGAAGCCATTGATAGATCGAAAACTAAGGAGTTCTGAATAGACTCAAACTTTTTTTGCCTGCTGGTTAATCCTAGAGGAAAACTTGTTTGAGGGCGGAGAAGAAAAAGACGCATTAAAGGAACATCCATAGAAAGTTTCTATAGCTCCAATTCACATCATGTCATCTCAGGTCACTTTCCAGTTCACCAGATCATCCAGTCAGATTGATTCAAAGTTTCTATCTAAGGAAAGAACATCTCCTAAAATAGCTCCAGCCAGCAAACGGCGGCTCTGACGTAGTTTGGCCCTGCTGAGATGAGGCATGATGCAATCATTTACAGGGAAACCCATCTTTATAACATGTGTTATAACATGTGTAGCTCTACGTTCTTATAGACCAGAAGGTTTGCTTTGTGCAGATTGAGGGAAAAAAATCCCCTCAGCTGAAAACTGAGGATAACTTTATCACCAGAAGAAGAAGAAAGCAAACAGCAACCTGTGGCCTTATAAAGAGTCCTTCATTCTGCATAAAACGTTCTAAAGAATTTTGCAATAGAATATATAAACTTATACATTGTTTTGTAAAATTAACCCTTTAAAGGAACGCATAATTTGTGTCTTTATAAATCTGCAGCATCACTGATAGAGAAATGCCGCTCTGACATAAATCTTAAGCTCCTGTCACACCTTCAGCCAGCGTATGCCTGACGTACGGAAAATCTGGCAAAAACGCTGGCATACCTTAGATATGTTATGGGTACGTTTTGTAGAAGTTATGAGCACGCTGAAGTACGCTGAAACACACTGACATACGGCGCGTACGTACGGCAGCGTGTGCTCATACGTGGGCCAAGTCGTGGCGTCTGGCTTATCCTCTGAGAAATTTCTCCTCCAGACTTCATCCCCATCATAGGGTGAGCCAGAAGTACGTTTTAAGATCATCTAAGGCGAGAACATTAACTGAATTCTATTCAGTTTATTTCTATAGCTCCAATTCACATCACATCATGTACTGAAGAAATACGCTACATAATAGTTATTTTTCTTAAAATAAGTGCAATTAATTTAAGCAGGTAGGTAGCAGAATTTGCAGGAGAAATACAATGTTTTAAGTTTAAACTAAAAAAGAAAACAACACACTTATTTTATTTCAAATGCTTAATATCTGACTTTCTTCTTTTTAATTCTATTCAGTTTATTTCTATAGCTCCAATTCACATCATGTCATCTCAGGTCTCTTTCCAGTTCACCAGATCATCCAGTCAGATTGATTCAAAGTTTTCTATCTAAGGAAAACCAGCTGATTGCATCGACTCATTGACTCTTCAGCAATCCCTCACACTAAGCATGCTTGTAGCGACAGTGGAGAGGAAAAACTCCCTTTGAACAGGAAGAAACCTCCAGCAGAACCTGGCTCAGTGTGAGCGGCCATCTGCTGAGGCCCACTGGGGTTCAAGGAGACAGAAGCAGACATAGAAAAAAGCAAATTTGTATCATTTTTCGATATATTACCTATTTTTCTCTCCTCCATGTTGGTCAAACCCCTGAAAATCCCAGCAAAACACACTGATGTTTGTAGTTGTGATGTGACAAAAGGTTCAAAGGACGGGATTTAATACGACATCGTTCATCTACATCTGTGCTGCTTGTTTTATGTCCTTCCCTACAGAGCCCCCATATGGCTTTATGAGATCTGTGTGAGTCACCATGAAAGCCCTGATCATTAGGGCAGCACTGCATCATGTTTGGTTTAGTTTTATGTTCACTGCCCTGTAGGAAACTAGGCATGGATAAATAGAGCATCACGGTGACGTCTGTTTCAAAGAGTTGTAGGATGTGACTTATTTTCTCCATTAGAGAGAGAAATATCTGGCTTCATTGGACCTGCAGGAAGAACAGGCGCTGCGTTGCCTCTTGGATCAACTCCTCAGCAACATCCTCCGGGTAAAACCGGGCCCTGAACTTGATCAACAGAGGGTTGTTCTTCTTCACGTCTTGAGCTGTCACCTGGGATTGACGCCCCAAAGGTGGGAGAGTCCAAGAACAGACAGACACTGATTAGCCTCACAGCAAAACAAACAGGCAAGCAGGGTTTATTCAAAGTGGATATTTAGATTTAACTCACTCTTTTGTTCATCTTCAGCCAGGTGGAGAAGCCTTTGCTGTCCTGATACTGAAGACCGAAGAACCAGGTTTCTCTGAGTCCGATGGTCTTCACCACCTAAATACATCAGATGGGATGAAGATCACGCTTCTCTTCCATCACACTTCCTGTCTGGTTGCATCACACCAAATGTACCTGGTCGAAAAGCTGTTTGCCAGTGGTGCTTGGCAGGATGGCAAACTCCAGTTCTGCATCCATTGTTGTAACCCGGACATTGATCTGCCAGAAAATAAAAAACAGGAAAACCTCCAATCTGTTCATGATGGTGAGTCACTGGTGGACGTTCCGGATCAGTGCCACAATGGGGGTGAAGGAAAGACTATGGCTCTAATTGCACTGCTTTGTTATTTGAAACAGTGCGTGTGATCAAAAAACAGCGACATCCGTAACTACATGTCGGTTTGGACCGCAATCAGCCGAGAATGAGGGGTTCATTGTGTGATAAAGAGAACATCTTCAAATCTGCACCAATTAATTTTGGCGTGCAGTCCAGAGGCCATTAGATCCCGACACAGACGGACCCTTTCCGACATTCTTACATTTTTAGACCCCAAATTAAAAACTGAACAGTTACTAGAGAGGCTGAAATGGACCATTTCTCACTTTGCATCAGAGCAGGAGAAGGTGGTGGAGCAGGAAAATGGCTCCCCACTTCTCACGCTGAGCGCCAATCAGGAGCGGATTTATTATATGTGGGGCCCTAGGCAAAGACAGGCAGGGGCCCCTCTGAATGGAGAAGACAACACCTCAAACAGCCCCATTCTCCAGATAGAGAAATGTTAATAGAATAGACATCCATTATCTGTTCTAGGTTGTGTCCCTCTCTTCTTGTCCCTTTTTCTTCTTGTTTTCCTCTCTATGTTTTGTACTCAGCTGACTTTTCATGCTGTCTCTAAAGGAATGAAAGATTTTCTCCAAGCACTAAGCTCACTTAGCTGATTGCTCCTTCCTGTGTTTCCAAAAAGGCCAAAGTAAATAACCCAGTCCTTCTTTTCACTGTAGACAAGCCATGATCTGCTTATCTGTTCTCCATTTTTCATTTGGATGAAATAATAGCTGCATGAATCATGACAGCAGACAAGATAGAGGAGAGCAGGAGGCGGGGTTACCAATCTACTCGCTCTGGAGAGCAGAGTTCGCTGCTTTTAGATGATGTCTCCAAAGTCTCCAGTAGCAGAAAAAAGTCTCTAGATTTGGCACTAGGAGCTTTTTAGAAATCAAAGTGCTAGAGGGGTCTGAAAAGTGGCTAAATATAGCGACTAAAGCGCTAAGTTGGCAACACTGCTCTTTGCATGGTTTGTTTCCAAATGGTTTGCTGCTGTCTGTTTGGACCTTTCTTAACATGTGCAGCAAATGGACTGATCCAATATGGTGGACACTGAAGGGGGGGGGCTGAGACACACTTAATATTATCAGCGTTCTGATGGCATTTTAGGGAAAAGATTTTTATCAAAAACATAATTAATGTGCAGAAATAAGGAATAGTTGTATTAATCATACATGGAAACAGAGTTTTAAGGGGCCCCCAGGAACTTGGGGCCCTAGGCACCTGCCTAGTATTGCCTAATGGTAAATTCCTTTATTTTAAAGAGGTTCATCTTCTCTGAGTCAACCTCCCTTTTAACCCTAATGGACATAAAGGTGTAAAAGGAGCTACTGTTAGCATTTTAGCTTTGTTGGTAACTGTGTTGAAGATGAGCTGAAGCTTTAGTGTTGTTTATCTTAGCATTGTATGCATTGACAAAGACATATTAAAGGTTATTCCTAAATTAAACTTAGCTTCCTTCTACTCTACCAACTGCTATTTTTTCAGGAGAAAACCAACTTGCTGCACATCTAAACCCTCCAACATATGGATGACCGACCCGTGGATCAGGGCACTCACAGCTCCAGGAATGAAACTAATGGAAAACTTTTGCAATGTAACCAGAAAGAAGGTGGACCAAACATACCTGCATGGCGTGGCAAAAAATAAATCATGGATTTATGAAAAATATGCTTTAAATCGCCTCAATATTTTGAACCTCTGACTGAACGATTGAGGATGACATTCTTCCAGGTTTCCACCGTCTACCTACTGCTAAGGAAAAGCTTTTTTTGGATGTTTTCATGGGCATTAGGCTCCTTCACAGGTTTATCCATACATGCTAAACGCACCAGCAGCTGGATTTAAGGGTTTCTTCCTACTTTAAGACTAGATTTTAAATTAAATAAAGAGTGGAAGAAAATGTGCTTCTTTATACTCAAATATTTCCCTAACATTAATAATTGATTTTGATGTTTTTTCTTCTTTTTTTTATCAGCAGGACTACAGCATTCCATCCATCTGGGTCAACAGAAGGTGTGGATGAATTTCATCTTAACCAGATCAAAAACCTAAAACAGACTGGAATCTCTGGAACGCTATTAAATGAAAGGTTAGATAATTATAACCGAGCTGCTTAAATATTTCTGCCAGGAGTGGCAGCAAGTCAACCTGCAGCCAAGATACAAGGAGGCTATCATTGAAATCAGGTCCATTCACCCAAATATCTATTTCTGAACTCAGATTTTTTTCTCCTAAAAATGAAATGAGTCTTTGTAAAGTAGAAAAAATACAAAGAGCAGTTTATACAATAAAAATAAATGTTGATTTAAGTTAAAACCCTTCGCCATAAACAGTAAAAGCTCAGAAACAGGTCATTGTGGTTCCTTAAGTTGTTCCACAGTTGTATTTACAGTAGTTACCATGGCTACACCCAGAAAACAGCACAGAAGCAGGAAATGAGGCTGAAACATTAATATCACCCAAACCTGCCGCTGCTGAGGAACCTTCAGTTAACCCTTTATAGGACCTGTTTCTGATCACCTGCATCCCCCTTACAAATAGATCCCCCTCCCTCAGCGAGATCTAGAAGCACAAGATCTATATCCAGACATTCAGCAAAGATCCTGCTACATGTCTGTACATCTGATTTGACCAATTAGATGAGCCCTTAAATGATAGATTACCTGCTGGAAATTAAGCGGAAAAAAAAGTTAACAAAAAAAGGTAAAAAGCTAATTGAAAAGTTAAATGTTAATAAGTCTAGTGAACAATTATATTTAGGTTTATAAATTAAAAAATTTTAGTGCCAGTATCATTGCATTGCATTGCATTGCATTTAGATGCATTGCATTGCAATGCATCTAAAGTTATGTTGGACCAAATAAAATGTGTTTCTTTCACTCTGAGTGTTTTTTATGAATTTCTTCTAGAAGCATGTTATAGTCTGCTATTAACAACATCATAATGAGTCTATTAATGCATATAAAGTCTTATAAACACATAATAATGTTAATAAGCATCTAGTAGGTACTTATTAAGATCTTATTACCTATTAACTAGGCCATTAGGCCAACTATTACAAGGACCTTAATATAAAGCATTACCGTTATTTATCTTAATATATTCGGGGAATTTGGCATTTCTTTTTATTATATTGATATTCATTTTTGCCATCAAAATATTTATACTTTTTGAATGTTACAAAGATAATAAGGTCTGTCCCAGAGATGGGAAGTAACAAAGTACAAATACTTGGTTACTGTACTAAAGTAGATTTTTCTGATATTTTTACTTTACTTTACTACTTATTTTTATGGCGACTTTTTACTTCTACTCCTTGCATTTAAAAAAATTGGCTCGTTACTTTAGTTTTGAATCATTTCAATGGAGTTACCGTTATTATTTTTCACGTCATCAATACCAAATTCAATCTAATTGGATGGGAATCTACGTTGCATTTGACGCACCGCTACAAGATGAATCGACAGATTCGGCGGTATTCATTGGCGGCAAATCATTGCAGCTTGGTGGCGGTGGCGTTAGCATAGTAGCATGGACGACGAGATGATTGAAAATGAACACAACGGAGATCTAGTCCTATTGGCAGACATCCATTTAAAATGTAGGCAACGGCATGAAAAAAGTGGTTTCTACTTTTACTTTTATACTTTAAGTAAATTTACAAGCCTGTACTTTGTTACTTTTACTTGAGTAAAGAAGTTTAATCAGTACTTCCACTTTTACCAGAGTATTTTTTAACACAAGTATCTGTACTTTTACTCAAGTACGGAAAGTGAGTACTTTTGCCATCTCTGCACGTCCCTCAGCAAAATCTAGAAGCACAAGATCTATATCCAGACATTCAGCAAAGATCCAGCTACATGTCTGTACATCTGATTTGACCAATTAGATGAGCCCTTGAATGATAGATTACCTGCTGGAAATTAAGCTGGAAAAAAAGTTTACAAAAAAAGGTAAGAAGCTAATTGAAAAGTTAAATGTTAATAAGTCTAGTTAACAATCATATTTAGGTTTCTAAATTAAAAATTTTTAGTGCCAGTATCATTAATGCCTCTAAAGTTATGTTGGACCAAATAAAATGTGTTTCTTTCACTCTGAGTGTTTTTTATGAATTTCTTCTAGAAGCACTTTTGTTATTTTGCGTAGTATATTCGAGCTAATTTCTTTTTATTACATTAAGATTAATTTTTGGCATCAAAATATCCATATTTTTTGAATGTTACAAAGGTAATAAGGTCTGCACTGGAAAAAGGATCTAGAAATAAGGAAAAATTTCTTAAATTAAGTGTATTTACTCTTAATTTAAGTAGGTAAAGGAGGTAGTTTGCCAATAGAATGGGTATTTTTTACTCTTAAAATAAGATAATTAGATAATATGCACTTGAAATAAGACAATGCAGTTGTGTTTTCTAATTTCAAGTGTAAATTGTCTTATTCCATTGGCAAGATGTCTCTTTTACCTCCTGAATCTGAGGAAAAAATGCACTTATTTTAAGAAAAATGACTTTTTTCCAGTGTGTCCTGGATTCCAAGAACACTGTTGGCTGGAAATGTAGATTTTCTAAAAAGGGTTAATATAAATTATTATTTAATGTTTCCCTCAAATATCTATATAAAAAAAGGTGCTTGATAATGAACACTTACAGTAAATGAGAATCAATCAGCTTAATATAACATTAGCTACGTAACATTAATCAGTAAGAAACATGAGCTATCACCATGATCTGGCTTTAGAGGAGCAAACATTTCAATAAACTGTCGTCACAGATTTACTGAGAAATAAAGTATAATCAAAATAAAACAATAACATCTACTTACAGTTGACATTTGTGCTGTTTTATTTTTTATATTTCAGCAGCAGAAATCCTTTCCTCAGAGTCAGGCTGGTCGAAGCCTTTTCTCTGCAGTCATATGAAAGTGCTTGTAATGCCTGTAAGGATTATAGTGAGTGAGAATAGGCCATTGTTTTGTTCTTAAGTGCTGCTTGTTTGGTTAATCCAACGGCAGCTCATTTTAAAGAGGCAGTCTTTGCCTTCTGTAAACACCTTTCAATGACCCACAGATAGATGTATAGATTCCTTTATTTCACATGGAGCAGTTTTTGTTCGGTTTAAAAGAACTAAAGGATAGTTTGTGAGGAAAAGGCTACACACAGAAAATCACATGTTTGTGGCAAGAGATGGAAGAAAACCATCTTTTTCCCCAAAATGATGTTCATCACTCGCTCACAGTGGATAATAATCCACCTCACAGACTTTTCTTTGTATGAAGAGAAGAGACCAAACCAGAGAACGTTGTAGTTTGCGTGCGAGAGAAGCAGTTTTTACAGCATAACAGCTTTTGATGATGAAACATGGCGGTGGTGGTAATATCATGCTGTTAATCTTTTATTGCTTTTGGAGCGTTTATAGTACGATGCATTAGATTTTATATTAATATCATTGTTATCATGAATATTTTTATTCTTTTTATTATATTATCCATTAGCTGTACCTGCTTTATGCTTGCACGGTTGCAGGCATGTGGTGCGTATCTCCGGCAGGCGCTCCAAACAGGCGGCCCATTTATCACCAGGAACACACCCAGGACAGACAACCATTCATGCTTCATCTACTCCTACCTACGGCGATTTAGCGGCCATTTAACCAAACAAGCCTATTTAGGAAAAGTGGGAGAAAAGGCTAGATAAAAAGTAGGAACTACATGGAAACACGAGAGGAACCTAGAAACAGGATTCTTGTGGTTTTCTTTGAAAAACTGACTTGTCAACAGATTTTTCCACTTGAGCTGAGTATGTTTGGAGCCCCTCTACTGTGGGCCTCTGGGCTGCTTCTCTGAGCCGTTTCCCAGCCAGCAGTTTAGATGGACAGCCGGCAGGGGTTTTTCATATTGGTGATATAACTCTCCAGCCAAGCGTGACTGTGTCTGAGGGCAGCAGGAGCGCAGAAAGGAAAAAGACAGAAAAGGACTTTTTTTGAGTTCCTCCCCATGCAAATTTGTCCCTGCTTTTTTTTGCATGTCCGGAGGATGTGAGCTGCCCCCTGCGTGGCGGACAGTGTAGGCATGGTAGAAGGAATGTGACTGAAGCCAGCGGCTGGAAGGATGACAAAGTGTGCGTCTCATCTGAGATTCCCAGGAAAAGCTAAATCAAAGGGCCCGTTTCATTGTCTTCAAGAATTTTGGACTGAATTTGATTGGCTGGGGTTCAAAACAGCAACACTGCAAGAATCTTTATTTCATTTAAAAAGGGTCACACCAATGGGATGTTTTCCACGTTTTAAAGGAGTTTGCACAAAGAAAACAGTAAATATAGAGGAGTATAATATTAACTAACAGATTCTACACTGAAACATTTTTATGGCATTTATAATGGAATATTTAGTTACTTTAACACAATTGTTTCCTGTTAGCAGGGTAAGACATAGGTTGTTTAGTGAAACAAATCTCTGAAGCAAACTGCAGCAGTTCTAAAAAAAATGGACTCAGTCAGCATCGGGTTTAAACAGAAACTGCCTGTTTGCAGCGACGCTTAATTCTCTTTCTTTTGGAATTATTTATTGAACAGAACTTTTTTGAAGGTTTGGATCTGTTTTCAGAACCACGCCACACATTTAACTTCTGCACGGCTTCTTTCCCAGCATGCATGCTGCGCTCCTGTCAATTCATTCTGCTTTTTATTTACAGATTCTTTCTGGACGGTTAAATATTCACAGAATTGAATTTATTTCCATGACATTAAGCGACACTCACATTGGCTTGAGGGACTTCTAAAGCGATCTGTTGCACTGGATTTTATTTATGGGTGTCAGAGTTAGAGGGTCTGGGTATTTAACCCTGCTTTTTTTTTTTTTTAGCATTTTTCTAAAATCGAAATCTAGATAAGTCATTTGTTGATAGGTGCATTTGTTGTTGAATTGAGGAGATAAAATGGAACAAGACAATTTAGATTTAAAATAAGAATTGCAATTGCATTGTCTTATTTCAAGTGCATATTATCGAATTATCTTATGTTAAAGGTACACTATGCAACCGGTGTTGATTTTCCAGCGAGGCTCCCCCCAGAGGGCGAAAGTAAAAGTGCACTGTCGTAAATATGCTCAGCTATTCTCCTGATTTCTCCGTCAAGCCAGGCGCGGTTGTTTTGAGCTTAGCAGACAGGCGAACGCAACGAATCACTATGTCTACTGCGGTAAGTGACTATTTTGTTCCAATGTTCAAGTTCGAAAATTTCGCTGTTTTCTCGCTGGTTCCGCCATGATAACTGCACAAATATCGTCACTGCGCTAGCAACGAGCATGCCTTTCACTGGGGGCGTGTAGCAGTTCTCGCCGTAAAGCAAGACCGACTATCGCGATGCACGAGACTTCTGAGCCTGTGGGTGCGGGCCGAGGGCTCCTGCAATTGCAAGGACGGTATTTCCCCTACAGACCACCAGGGCGGCCGAGAATACCTTTGTTCGACCTGAAATGACTCATTTAATCATCCAAGACGTTATGGAACACATTAATTAACTGAAAAATGTTGCATAGTATGCCTTTAAGAGTAAAAATACTCATTTACCTTTTCAAATTAAGGGGTAAATACTCTTAATTTAAGCAGTTTTTATTCATTTCTAGATCCTTTTTCAGGTGTATTCTACATTGTGTTGGTCTGTTACATGATTGTGGTGAAATGGAACGATTATGAAAACTTTTATAAAACACTGTAGGAGGTAAAGTTAAGATCCTTTTCCAATCAGAACTTTTAAAAAAGTGAAGTAAAACAAAGCGATATTTAGGATTCAGCACTAGATTTAGGTCAGCAGTCAGATTTAAGCAGATTTGCTGCTTGACCATGCCGTCTCTGTTTGAACAGAGGGTCAGATTTCCTTAAGTCTTATATTTTCCACTGAAGCACGTGTTTAAAAGGAACTCTGACACCAAGGTTTGTTCGAGGCTATGCACCCACAGCCATTGTTCACCTGCTATAAATATGGGTGTGCCTCAGGCCTCCAGCAGGGTATTGTTGTTGTGGTAATAAAAAATATGGCAACAGTTTAAAGAAAAAAGGACTGCAGGATTTTTTTGTTGTTTGTTTTCTTGTTTTCTGGGCTTTCATCTTAATATCACGGCCAGACTCAAAGTCTCCAAAGGGGGCAGGACCAAAAGCAGCGAGGGTGACTAAAAATGACCACATGCTAAAAAGGCTGACGTCGAACGGTTTGCTCACTCACAGCTTCTAAAAGCTGTGAACTTACGGTGAAAAAAAAGCTAAATTCCATTAAGTTTTTCATAGAAGACGGAAAAAATTCCTTTTCAGATTCAAGTCCAAGTCGGAGGTTTCACCCAGCTGCAGAGGGAGTGTGTGTGAGGAGGCGAAGGGGAAACAGACGCATTCAGAGCGGTTTAACATGTTGACTGCCATGAAGCCCCATCTGGCCCCACGCTGTTTCTTTATAAGACAGTTGTAAATATAAATGATTTCATTTATAATTTAACCCGTGTCTGATCATGATCCGAAGAGAAAGAGTTTCTCAGAGGTGTTAAAGAGACGCCTTGGCTTTGGAAAACACTTTTGACCTCTTACTCTTTAACTCAGTTCTGACGCCATGTTTCCAATCATCACTATGCGGGTAATGTTCTACTGGGAAGCTGAAGCACAGCCATATTTATAACAGATGAACGCCAGCTGAATAGAAGTCCAGTTGATCGTGTCATTGAAGAACACCCGCTTAATATACCTGTTCACACAGAAAATGTAATCAAATTTAAATCAAAGCTTGAATCTGATGCCATTTATTTGGAATCAGCAAACCTTTTTTACAACTTTGTTTTGTTCCATTTTATATGAGGATGTTTGAGCTTGAACAACCCTGTTTAACCCTGGATGTGCTCTCTTCATCCTCTGACATGGGAGCTGGCTCGGAGCTCGTCTGCCTGGCTGTGTGTTTCCTGGACGGGGCCGCCTGTGGAGCTGGTTGACAGTTGCCTTTTGTATCTATGCTTCTTTTTCTATGTCTGCTTCTGTCTCCTTGAACCCCAGTGGGCCTCAGCAGATGGCCGCTCACACTGAGCCTGGTTCTGCTGGAGGTTTCTTCCTGTTCAAAGGGAGTTTTTCCTCTCCACTGTCGCTACAAGCATGCTTAGTGTGAGGGATTGCTGAAGAGTCAATGAGTCGATGCAATCACCTGGTTTTCCTTAGATAGAAAACTTTGAATCAATCTGACTGGATGATCTGGTGAACTGGAAAGAGACCTGAGATGACATGATGAGAATTGGAGCTATAGAAATAAACTGAATAGAATTGAATTAAGGTTTTGCCACAACATCTTATTGGCATTTAAATAACGGCTTTGACCAGATCACTCCTAAACCTTTCCTTGAGCCAAGAAGAGGCGGACATGTTGGTGCATTTTGTCCTCAGAGGCTTGAACTTATTGACAGGATGGTTTTATCTTCTCCTTTTAAATTTTTCTTGTGGAGGAAAAAGATTCTTGGTTGCACCATTTTGCCCCAGGCCATCACCTCGCCGTCACCGTGTTTTGCTGTTCGTATGATGTTCTTCTTTTGAAATACTGTCAGGTTTAGACCCGGTCTGACACACCTTCCTGAAGGTTAGGCTTTTGTGTTATCAGTCCAACAAAAATGTAAATGTTAGGGGATCATCAAGATGCGGGTTTTGGTAGGGGTGCATCGACCTATCGGCCTGCTGATCGGCCGATACTCAGATGGGAAACTGATCAATCTGATCTTCCTCTGTGAAGGCCTGAAAACCTCCCACTGCTAATTCCTTAAATTTATATTTCAGAGTAATTAATTCACAGGTTTTTATCACTTCACAGCAAATTATTAATCTTCTTTTTCACTAAAATGAGATTGAAATATATGATTTTATAACAACTGAGAGCGTCGGTTATAGAAAGAAATCTGTGCCGGTCAAAATCAGGATCGGCA